AAGATGCGATTTATAAGAGGGCTACTAATAGACTAGGAGGGGGCTGCAATTCAGATTTCTGAAGTAGATTGCAGTCCACTTACTTATCCCTAGATTATAATCCCTCAATTTTGCATTATTCCATGGCTTGGTTATTCTAGACCATTCAATTTATGAGAAATCACCTTTTTTCACTTAATATACTTTAACAATGACAGACATTGAATATAATGAAATGGTGAAATAGGATTTATGTAATCCACCCATATAGTTGAGACAAGGTGGCAATCGCGGAAGCTGTTGCTGCTAAGAGGTCACATTGAAAATTTGAAATATCTATTCATCTCCAATCTTAGTTGTACCCTAATATACACTCCTATTATCATTGCATCATATGATCAAATCCAATACAAGTAAATAATGTAAATTAAGTTACACTATAAAACTAGTAAACAATAAACATTTATTATAAATAATATATTTGAATTTTCAAAGACTTTGCTTAGGCTGCATTTGAAAGCGATGTAAAATTTATATCGGTTCAGTTTTGTAGACATTTGGAATAAGCGTGTAATTATGATCGATGTAAAACTCCACTCCGATTCAATTTTGTGTGCATTTGGTTGGATCGATGTAAAACATCATCAAACATAAAGTTTTACATCGATAATCGATGTAAATACTACATCACATTTTTCAAAAAGCAATGGTCACTTTCACAGTTCAGTGTAAAACATTATCAATATACTTTAATTTACATCGATGATGTTTTACACTGATTCCAAACACAGCCTTGGATCTTAGGTCCAAAATGGCTAAATTTTCTAATAATCAAAAATGATTTGTGGAAGGTAATTTAAGAACATTTTACCATAAATATAATAGTGAATTCTCTATTAAAAGTTGAATCAATTGCAACATTTTAAACAACTTTAAGAAAAAAAAAAACAATTAAAACTGAGCGCCTGGGCATGTCATTCCCTCTAACTCCAAAAACGTAAAATCTCTTTGATATCAAAACCATGGCTAGAATCAGGTTGGATTCATATCAGATCATTCTACATTTTGAATTCAAATCCAGGGGCCTTAGATCGAATTTGAATCCTACTAGTTGTAGTCTAATCTAAAATTTGATTCACCATATTTAAAATGAAAAAGAATTTAAAGTATAAAAAGAGAAAAAGAATCAGTCTTTAATTTTGTGTACATATAAAAGATGCTATGTAAGCAGAGATTTTGCTTGCAGGAGATTTGGGAGTGGTCTTGTTGCTGTTGCAAATACATTCAGAATTTAGGTGAGGGGTCATAACTCAAAAAAATGGGGTGCAAATGGATCGGATCATGATCCCATCCAAAAGTCCGATCTTATATTGTGGATTCGGATATTCCTGTTTTGGATTTTCAGATTGGATTAATATCCGATTCAAAAAAATCCATATGATATATGTATATGTTATTTATATTGCATTTTTTTGTAAATTTCTATATTATTTATTTTTATAAAAACATGTGTGTATATATATATATTGGTGAAAATAGTTGAATAAAAATTTGTATTTTTTGTTTTTCTTTATTTAAATAGTAGTTCTATTTTCTTTTCTTTTTAATAATTTATTATTTTTTAAATTAATTTAGATTGGATCATATTCAGATATCCAACATCTTGATCAGATTCAAATTCAAATTGATGTTTATGAGATTCGATTGGATCTTCGAATCAGATCAAATTTGAATGTACCTTTGATTCGAATCCGGTCCAATCTGACCCATTTGCATCCCTACTGATCACAAGACCATGTATAGTACTTTGATCAACCAAAATCCGATTCAATCCTCACACTGTGCTAACAGCCACTTGCAGTTATGTTTTGTAATATCTCCCCATGAAAAAAAATATACAAATACGAAATATTCCCGATACACAGCTGCAAAAGGCTGTAAACACTAAACACGGTGCGAAGACGCTTTTGTGAGGCCTGAATTGGGGGATGTTTGGAACTGTGGCTGTTTTTCAAAAAAACGATGTCACATCGGATCCACATAGGCATTTCAACAAACGCCCATGTATCTCATTGTTTGGTTCAGCCGATTATTAGAAAATTGGGCATGCCTTGAAAGTTGAGACCCCATGTGTTTCATGCATCGGCGAACCGTTTCACCCAACGGTTGACTGATGTATATCTTATGTGGTGCTTACCTGTACATACATGAAAAATGGTGATGAAAATCACCTTACCAAACAGCATAGTGTTGCTTAATGCATACATGGTAGAAACATTTTTTTATAAAAAACGGGTATTGAAAATATGTACATTTTTTCTTGAAAACCGATCCCAAAAAGTGCCCACACTTCCAAACACCATATTGATCGGGCATCACCTATGAACATGATTCATGTTCGTGTTGTTGTATATGTTGCTGGGCCTCGGCGGTTTTCAGTTTGATGTTTGAGACACTCGCTGTTCCCACTTTCAATCTTCATAGCCGCCTTGGCTCCTCCCTCCTACACAAGCCTTTTTTTTTGTGGGGGGGCCAAAAAACAAAACTTTGGGTCCCAAATTGTAGATACTATCGATTTATATGGTAGATGATTAAGCCACGTCTCCTACTTTTGTAAAAAGTTTTTATTTTGGTATTTACTGACACGTTTGAATCTCCCACGGGTAGCTGTTTTTACCGGAATAAACCAGTTAACATACCAATTGAGCCACCTCTCATTTTCTATTTTTTTCTTTTTGTGAAATGTTTGATTGTTTGGTGAAGTGACTTTCATTAAAAAAGTAATTGTCCATATAATTTAATAGGAGTCAAAGTTCTTTCTTTTTTTTTTTTATGCTACTCCTTTTGAAAACGATGTAAATATGTAGAGTGTATAATGGTCCATATAAATTGTAAAGTTGAGTTAGTTTTGCACTCACAAATTTATCTTTTTACCAAATAGACTTTTAGCTGTAATGGTTGCAAATAAGAATTCCAATAAAGCATATGCCTTTTTTTTAATCAAAAGCCCACTTGAGTACAAATTTATTTCTTTTTTTTATTAATGTACCTTTACATCTTATTATCAATATAAATATACATTTGAAAATGTATTTTCTGTCATTTGTTAATACATAAATGTAATGTTACCAAACACAAGGAAAAATAAATCAGAGTGCACATTTACCCTAAACGGAGATTTATACTCCATTTGCATTGTTCCCAAACGCAGCCTACTGAATTGGTATCTCCTTGCGTGAATAAAATAGTTGCTAACTCGGTATCAACTATCATTTAACCCATGGAACTATCAACTATTATGGAAAACTAGATTGGTTTTATTTATAATTCTTTTAAATTATTTTCTTGTTGTTAAGTTTGTAAACCTTGTGCCTTTATCAAACCTACTCATTCTTTAGCTCAGTGATCAAAATCTTTGGAGACTTTTGTTTTCTTGTGAGATGGTTTTTTTTTTGTCTAATGAATTATTTTTTTTTAAAAAAAAAAAAACAAACATGGGACTATAGATTCTCTATGCTAAAGCTTGCTCTATCCTCCCTACAAGTCCCTTACGATAAAATGCATTAGGGGTGAGAGAGAGACATCCGTTAATATTGTTGGAGAGAAAACCTATTCAGGGCCTCCGCTAAGAACTTAAGCTTCTAGGATGAACGGTTTCATGACATGGTATCAGATGCTTATTTGACCATCATCATTGCCCTCGTATAATTAAAATTAAAGAAAAATTTATAGTTTATTACCCTCTGAATTTTATTGATTTTCTAAATGTATTATCTCAAACCCCCCACGTATGCTTGAATTGTGATATATTTTCCTACACGTCATTGTTCTTAATTATACAAACTCAAAAGTTTCTGAAGTAGAGGAATCAATAAAAGCCCCAAGCTTAAACCATTAGTTAGGGCTCTTGAATAGATGTTTATTCTTTAAAACTCTCCTCGTGCAAAAGCCTATTGGGTGTGAAGTGTGGACAAATATCTTGTCTTCAAATTTAATTAAACAAAGATTGGACATTAAACTGTTTGACCATGTTAATAAACTATTCAACCTAAAAGCTCAAGTGGTAAGGTGAGGTCCTTAAATATATTTTTATTATCTAACATGATCCCTTATGCAAAATCCCACATAAGCTCACCCATGAATGATTCTTTGAAAAATATTGAGAAATTTACTTGACGTTGATGGTAAGTCATGATCCTTCTGATAAAAGACATCTGGCAAGTACTGGATCCCATATGTCAGGCGGATCATGATTGGTCCAGTGTTCATCATATGGTGCAAATCAGAAAAATGAGTGCAACGGGAAGAGTTCAGTCTATGATTCTGGTCCTATTTTGAACTGGCTTGAAAGTTGAAACTAGTTACTAGTCCTTTTGGACGAGATATCCGGTCTTCCGGCCCGAATAGAGCTAACTTCGCTAGTTCACTGATTTGCTAACGTTTTCGGTCCACCCGGCCCGAATCTCGCTCGCTCTTGCAACTAGGACTTCAGACAGGGAATGAATGAATGATGTCTTAACTCGAAAAGCAAGCCACTAGTTCAGGATCTGCTACAAAAATGTTGTGTACAATAGGCTACGCAACCCAATCACAAATAAGCACGTCAGCAACATCCGAGCCCACGGGCCACGTTGTCTACACACTACAAAAAGTTACTCTCGCTAGTAAATAGGTTGACCCCACGGAGTAACGGTCGGGTCTTACGAACGGTCGTATAAAATTTCAAATTTGAAAATGCCATCTAAGATATTAGGAGGAAAAGGAAAAGGGATTCTTCAGCTTACCGTCTTGCTGTCTTCTTCAAACAGAACAACTCAGTAGTATTGCCTGAAAAGAGCTCCGCCATTCTAGATCTCATCTTTTCAACCACTCCAAGCCTCGGTTATCATGGAAGAAATTCAATTCAGTACTTTTCATCACGACCTGGAAGCCCCAATTTCGACTTCTTCGCTCTCTAGGGTTTATGACTGGGATCAGGATCTACCAAAGATCAACTCCCCGTTTGTCAATGCCGGTTGCAGCCTTGAACACGAAGGTCCTTTACCGGAAAACGATGATGTAGTTTCAGTAGATTCAGTGCTCTGTCTTTGGGGTTCTAGACTGGTTTCTTCGGGGTTTGTGCGGGCGAATTGCGCAGGTTAGTGTAATGTTTCTTCTTCTTAGTATGAGCGTGCATTTTCAATTCTTGAACTTCAATCTTGATTTCATTCCAGTTGTGGTAACCATTTTCTCAGTATGTAATTATTTTATCTGAACAAGTCAAATATTGGATTTGTTAGTTTGAACTGTTGTAATTCTCATATGAGGCGTTCTTTAATACTGTTTAAAGGTATCCATTTTCTTGATTTTATCGTCGAAGCTAATTTGAATTGGTTGTTGTACATTTTGAGGATTCCTGGTTAGCTTTATTAATTGTCTTCCATGTTACTCGCACCCAAGCATTTGACTGATTGCATTTGGTGCTTGTCCTAGTACGATTGGAGGGTTTCACTGATTAAAGGATGATAAAATTTGTACTTAATAGTTTCTGTTCTATTCGGTTCAGATTCCATGGGGATTTCAAGTGTTCATTAACCCTTCTCTTGTACCAGAGGATCTTGTGATGTTTGTGAATTGTGGCGGAGGCACTTTACGGGAAGCAGATGCCACTATGAGATTCGAGCCTGATATCTCTTTCGAAGGAGGGGATGTTTTAAGAACAGATGAAAGCATACTTGACGGTGGGGATTATCCGTCCATTTACCAGTCAGCACGGTTTGGTAACTTCTGTTACCGGTTTGACAATCTCCTCCCTGGAGATTATTTCGTTGATCTTCATTTTGTGGAGATCATAAACACAAATGGACCTAAAGGGATGAGGGTCTTTAATGTCTTTCTTCAGGAAGAGAAGGCAAGAGAAATCTCCATGGAGCAAAATATTTTACTATGATTAATTTTATCTTAATTAATCTTTTTTTTTTAGTTCTCATATGTTCCATCTTGTTTATATACAATTGCCAGGTTCTATCTGAACTCGATATTTACTCAATTGTTGGAGCCAAAAAACCATTGATGTTGATTGACGCCAGGGTCTCTGTTGGGGAGGATGGGGTACTTGTAATCAGGTTTGAAGAGGTCAATGGAAGTCCTGTGGTTAGTGGGATCTGCATTAGACGAGTACCTAAGTTACCAGGTACTCTTTACCTGTTTAATTCATTGTCAAGATAGATCTAATAGTTGCAAAGAAAACTAATTTGTGCTGTTCTGGTTCTTGAATCCAGCTCCAGAGGTGAAATCCGAGCATCTCATCTGTAAAAACTGTTCTACTGAGATAGAAATTTCTTCAGTTCCGGTTAGTAATCAACTTAGAATTCAGAATAGATTCATGCAAGAAAAAGGGTGCACCCGATTGTTGTTCATTCAGTTCATTATTGCTGGACTTTGCAGAATAAAGTCATGCAAATGAAATCCACTATCAAGTATGAGAAGAAAATTCAAGAGCTGACTACACAGTGTCAGCGCAAGACAGATGAATGCTATGAGGCTTGGATGTCCCTGACAGCAGCAAATGAGCAGCTACAGAAGGTCAGGATGGAACTTGATGATAAGACGTTCCAAACTCACTCTCTGGGTAAGATGAAATCAAATAATACAAGCCTTCCACTAAAGAAAATGCTTGATATCTGATAACTAGGGGATTGCATTACCTTTCAAAAAGAATACAAAATCCAATATAAGATTGGTCTAACAGAATGCTCATACCCAATGAAATCCCGTGTGGTAAATTCTATTGGTTATTTGCCATAATTTTTTGGATGTATAGTTGAAATATGAAACATCCATGGAAAAAATCTCTTTATAAGTGAACCTTATATTCCGGGTGAATTCTTTCTTCTCAGAATATCTCATCAGTGGATCCACTGAATGGCAAAATCCTTTGCTATTTGCCCAATTGGTAGCTTCTGTTTCCTATTTCATGAAAATTGAGCTCCTGGATGTGCTTTGTATTTTTCTTAGATCAAGCTATGGAGAAACAAGAAGCGAAGCTAAGGGATATTTCTAGTAGGTATGAGCGAGATAAAAAGTTCTGGGTTGCAGCAGTTAATGATTTAGAAGAAAAAATAAAGGTAAAAGGATTTTCCTTTATGAATGCAAATATATTGTTTGATTAGCTCAGGAATTCACTTTCTCTTGTGGCACATTAGAAAGACAAATATATTGTTCTTTGCAGGTTATGAGACAAGAGCATTCACAGCTCTCTCATGAAGCACACGAGTGTGCTGATTCAATTCCTGAACTGAATAAAATGGTATTTGCAGTTCAGGCCTTGGGTAAGTTTGATTCTGTTCTTTATTTTGAAATATTTATCTAAGTTTATGCTTCTTATGAATTATGGCTATATGTTAAATTCCTTTACAGTCGCACAGTGTGAGGATCTTAAAATGAAATACAGTGAAGAGCAGGCGAAGAGGAAAAAGCTCTATAACCAAGTCCAGGAAGCAAAAGGCATGCGTTTTTTCATTGTTCAAATAACTTAATTGATTATCTGTTTAATGCCATGCTTGAGAATTGGAGTGACTCAACTTCTTTGTTTCACTATACTGTTATATTCCAGGGAATATAAGGGTCTTTTGTAGGTGTCGTCCATTAAACAAGGAAGAGATATCCTCAGGATGTGCTTCAGTGGTTGACTTTGATGCAGCCAAGGATGGAGATCTTGGGATACTGACAGGAGGCTCCACAAAGAAGACCTTCAAATTTGACAGAGTATACACCCCAAAGGATGGTCAAGGTATTTGCACATTGTGATTTTACCAGTGAATGTAAAATGACCTGGAAAAATAGTAATTGACTGTGGTTTTGTTTTGATGAAACAGCTGATGTGTTCGCAGATGCTTCACCATTGGTGATTTCAGTTTTAGATGGCTATAATGTTTGCATTTTTGCATATGGACAGACAGGAACAGGAAAAACTTTCACAATGGAGGGTACTGAGCATAACCGAGGAGTCAACTATCGCACTCTAGAGAAGTTGTTCAAAATTGCCAAGGAAAGAAGTGAAACTTTCACATATAATATTTCTGTTAGTGTGCTTGAAGTCTACAATGAGCAGATAAGAGACCTGCTTGCTACATCACCATCACAGAAGAGGTAAGGTTTAGTCCTTTTTTTATAAGGATAATGACTGCAATAATGTGTGAAAAGAAGGGCAAAGCCCCTTATGCAAATGAAAAAAAAAATGCATGGCCTTTGACTATGATTCACACATATTGATGCAAATTGTGATATGAACCAAAGATGATGCTATGCCACCATTTTTTTAATTGACTGGAAAATCAAAAAGAAGAGAATGTGTTGAGCTCTTCTTCTTCCATAGGCTATTCTCCAATTAAATGATTATGCATGAATGAATAATGAAATGGTGCCTGTAGTCACCAAATGCAGGAAATCTTGACAAAATGCTGTCATGCTTTATAAGATAATCAAGGTGGAACAGGATGGTGGAATACTGACAGCAGAGGAGCATAATAATAAGCACGAGTTTCTTGTAGCTCTCTGCCTTCAATACAAGTACTGACTCAGCAAGAAATAGCGTTGCATTATGATACCTTCAATGCAAATGCTGATGAGTGCTCAACTGAGTTCAAGTGTTTTGTGCCTTAGAGAAGTAATCCAAGTTCTTGGATTGAGGAAAGAAAATGACTTGCCTTGAGTGAAAAATATACTAACCAAAACAATTGCTTGTCTAACTTTGGTTTTGCATTGTTGTATCTAGATTGGAGATAAGACAAGCTTCAGAAGGGGTTCATCATATTCCAGGACTAGTGGAAGCAAAAGTTGAGAACACTAAGGAGGTCTGGGACGTACTACAGGCTGGAAGCAATGCTAGAGTTGTTGGATCAAACAACATAAATGAGCATAGCAGTAGATCTCACTGGTTAGTGGCAATATCAGCTCCCTGTTCAATTTTGCATTACCATGAAATGGTTCCTTTTGCTTAGTTCATTTTCTTTGATTTCCTATCATATCAGCATGCTATGTATAATGGTAAAAGCAAAGAATTTGATAAATGGAGAATGTACCAAGAGCAAGCTTTGGCTCATTGATTTGGCGGGGAGTGAGAGGCTCGCAAAGACAGAGGTACAAGGTGAGCGGCTTAAGGAAGCTCAAAACATCAACAGGTCACTTTCGGCTCTTGGAGATGTCATAAGTGCTCTTGCAATGAAAAGCAGCCACATTCCATACAGGTCTGCAATGGTCTTGCCTATCTAGACTAAATCCAGGTTCCTGACTTTGTATTGTATCCTGATTCATTCTTGTGGATTTTGCAGGAACTCAAAGCTGACACATCTTCTTCAAGATTCACTAGGTAACACATTTGTATTAGCTATATCATTGCTAGTTAATCCAAGTCCCTTGTGGATTTTGTATTAGCTATACCATTGCTAGTTAATCCAAGTCCCTTGTCCACAGGAGTCATCTTTGACATGCCTTTGTTGCTGATGCTCATGTAATTTAGAATGGCCGAGTCATTCTCCATTTCTGCTCTACAATGCAGCATGCTCTCTCTCCATCTTACTTTGTCCATTTTTTGCATCCATTACTTTGTGTAAATCAGCTCTTGATTCTATGCAGGAGGTGATTCCAAAACTTTGATGTTTGTACAAATCAGCCCTTCAGAACTTGACTTAGGTGAGACCCTGAGTTCCTTAAATTTTGCAACTCGAGTTCGGGGAATTGAGTTGGGCCCTGCAAAGAAGCAGGTTGACACAAGTGAGCTTCAAAAAATGAAAATGCTGGTATGTTTAACCCCAATAAGTTAGAACATTTTTTAAGGGAAAATTCCGGATTAGTATCCTGTACTTTTGGCCTAGTGCCACTTTGGTCCCCGAACTTTAAAATGCGACAATTCAGTACCCAAACTTTCAAAACGTGTCAATCCAGTACCTACCATTAATCATCTGTAAACCAACTGTTAAATGGTCTTTGAAAAAGACACAAATGCCCTTCAAATGTCATCTAATTTTCTTTATCAACCATCCAAATGTTGACAAAAAATTAACAATCCCATATCCTTGCTTCTTCCATTCAAGAAAGTTGGAGTCACGTCTCGGTTGGCATTTTAGACCCCAACTTTCTTGAATAAAAGAGGCAAGAATTTAGGACTGTTAATTTTTTGTCAATGTTTTGATGGTTGATAAAGAAAATTAGATGATACTCAAAAGGCATTTGTGTCTTTTTTCAAATGTCATTTAATGGCTGGTTAACGGTAAGCACTGGATTGACATGTTTTGAAGGTTCGGGTACTGAATTGTCGCATTTAAAAGTTCGGGGACCAAAATGGCACTAAGGGTACTAATTGTGAATTTTCCCTTTTTTAATTTAGTAAGTTCTCCTCTCTAATTTAGTATTTCCTCTCTGATAAATTTAATCCATCCTAACTTCTTTCTCTTGTTTTTTCCACTTTTCCTTGAAAGCTTGACAAAGCAAGGCAGGAATGCAAATCCAGAGATGAATCCATAAGGAAGTTAGAAGAGAACTTCCAAAGCTTAGAAAGTAAGGTCAAGGGCAAAGATCAGATTTCTAAAAACCAACAAGAAAAGGTAAAAGAACTTGAAGGCCAACTTGAACTGAAGACTGAATTACAGAGCCAGTTGGAGAAGCAAAACTGGCAACTGGCAGAGAAACTGAAGGGGAAGGAAGAAAGTTGTCTGGTCCTTCAACAAAAGGTCGCTCTTCATTTCACTTTGTTCATTTCCTATACCAACTGCTGATATTTTTTTTTTCCTAATACCTGAATTATGTTTTGTTTATTAAAGGTCAAGGTGGTTTAATTTGTTTATTTCCTATACCAACCCTGATTTTTTTTCTAATACCTGAATTCTGTTTTGTTTATTAAGGTTAAGGAGCTTGAAATCAAGCTGGAAGAGAGAGAAAGAGATTACCTGGAATCCATGACTCTCCAACAGAAGGTCGCTGCCACAAACAAAAATTTCTCCATTTCATCCACAAGAAAGAAAAAAGTGTCTAGATTTCCTTGTGCAACAGAGACAAATGTTATATGTGCTCATGAAATATATTGATCTCCTCTATGTCAGTTCAGCTGTTTGTCTTTGTTGCACCTGGTTGTAATTATCTATAAATCAGCTATCTCAACAATCCAACTCATAAATTTTGAGAACAAAAAAAGATACTACTCCATTGATTCAAAAAGAAATCATTATTTCTCAAACAAAAAGCCTATACACATATAAAATAAAAAAAAAAATCTGGGAAAAGAAACTAACAAACTTCTAACTGCTTTCTATGTGTTGATTTAGGTCAAGGAGCTTGAAAACAAGCTCAAAGAGAGAGCACAACAGTCTGAGTCGGAGTCTTTTATCCTTCAACAAAAGGTTGGGCATCAAAGTTGTCTTTCACTGTTTAACCAGCAATTGTATCTTATGGGTACTAACTTCCTCCCTCTTTTGTTAATATTTCACAGGTAAAGGAGCTTGAGAGCAAGCTGAGAGACAGAGAAAACAATTCAGAGTCTTTATTCCTTACTCAAAAGGTCTTTCCTTTTAAAATTATTGTCATTGTAGTATTTGCCTTGGGCTGACATTTGTAGCAGAGTAAAAACATGCAGAAAAAAGGAAAGAAAATGGAAAGAGTGTTGCAAAGTCTGCATAGTTTTAGGATTTGACCAGAGAAATAACTTCTCCTTGTATGCAAATTTTGCTACTTCTTATACATGATTACATTTTATTGCAGGTGAAGGATCTAGAGGAGAAGCTGAGATCACGGGAACATGAATCACAGTCCATGCTACATTCACCCAAGTCAAGAGATAGCCCAGATGAAGGAAAATCCTGTTCAAGGGAAGAATCTATCAGTGAAAGTGATTCCCATATTCTAAGGAGTTCCAATTCAATCCATCGCCCCATCAGTCAGGAATCTATTTTGCTAAGGGGGGCTGACTCCCTCCGTGAGCTAAGAAGGAAAAGAGAGGTCAGGAGTGTTGAGATTGAGAACAATTATGTTGTACCCGTTCCTTCACTCGAGAAGAGGATGCTTGCAACTGAGGCCAAGAAGGTTAGGCAAATTAACCCCACTAAAGCATTTGCAAGGATTACAAAAACAACAAAGCCAGTTGTTACCCAGAAGCTCTTCACTCAGAACAGAATCAACAGAGATCAGGTTCAAGGAATCAAGGAGAGGGATAGGACAAGAGGTTGGTCAAGATAGTAAAGCGGAAAACCAGTGTTCTTTTCCTCTGAAATAGATTGGCCATTTTATTATTGATGGCAATCTCAAACTGTATATGGAATAGATGAAAATCACTGATTTGAAGGATCATGGAATTCTTTGTAATGATATTATATGCCCTTTCTATTGATAAATATACACTGTACTGTGAGTGCATCTGAGGCTGCAAATGAATAGATTGGCCATTTTATTATTGATGGCAATCTCAAACTGTATGTAGAATAGATGAAAATCACTGATTTGAATGATCATTTCATTATAATGAAATATATAATGCACAACATTTGCTGAAGATCTTACATTACATTGGCTGAGTTAAAAATCTATCACATTTTTTTTTCTCAATGCAAGTTTAATTCTCCCTAACAATTTTCAAGCGTTTGACAGAAAAGCGATCTGCACAAATTCCCAAGCTTCATTTGTTTATTTGAGTTTATTAGGAAAGAGAGAGATCAGTGCCTCACTTAAATAAAGCATATCAAACCGTTCATCTAGGATATTTGAGATTTGAGACCCATGTTCAACTCATGACAACATCCCAGATGGAGTTGCTTGGGTACCTTGATTTCCCGACACCTACGGATAATCTTGGATAACACAGATGCTCTACGCTGCATCTGGCAGAACTTGGTCAGCTTCTTTGGGTAACATAAACTGAGGATTTCCTCTTGGTTTCTATTAAAAAAAAAAAAAACTGAGGATTGTCATTGACAGGGGTAGCACAGACGGGTTTCCTATGACCATCTTTATCAATTTTTAGCTCTGGGACATTTTGAACATGTTCCTTCTATGTCTCCAAAACATCCAAGGTATCTGTCCGTCTGTCTGTCTGTCTGTCTGGTGGCCCACATAAATCCTGAGTGGATTTGGATGGCGATAGCTAATGGGTTGTGGCTGCAGTCTTTACTCCGTGGAGTCAAACGAACGAAATAGAAAATAAGGATGCTTTTTCCATTTGCTCAATCCAAGCCACCCATTGCCATTGACAATGGCCCAATTGGTGGGTGTTGGGCATGGTTTTGAAAACCGGACCGGATCAGACTATCTGACCAGTTGACCCAAGAGCTGTTGATTTGGTCAGTGACTCGCTGGATCAGGGTGGCCGAACCATTAACCCTTCATTCCAGATAATAGTTTTTGATCATTTTTTATTTTATTTTTTAAGTTAAAAGGGACTATTAAATTGGACAATTGGACTGTTCGACCCAAGAACTGGTTTTGGGTTTGGTCCAGTTTTTAAAACCTTGGTGTTGGGACTTGTGACTTAGGATGAGTTTTTTCTATGGATCTTCGATTGGATCGGATCTGAATTCGAATCCAAGTTGTTTAAGTCGGACTTGGATATCCATTTAGTCATACTCAGGTTGAATCGGATATTGCTTGGCCTGATTCGCTAAGACCCAATATGATGAGATTATATAAATATAAATATATAATTTATTTTTAGTATTATAAATTATATTAATTTATTGAGTTTTTAATCAAAATAAAACAAAAACGAAGTTGTTTTGATTGATTGAACTTGGAACATAGTGCAGAAAAAATAAAACTTTCAACTGATGACGGTGGATTTGCCATTATGGATGGCAATGGGTAGGGCATTTAAGTAAATTTCCTTCAACTTGGTTTTATTTCAAAAAACAAAACTAGATTCCAGAACATATTTTTTAGTTTTAATTTTGGAAACAAAAAACACATATAAAATTGTTGTTACTCTAGAAAAAGTTGTTTGGAACTATTTGTTTGAATCCTGGCCCCGGAGCTGGAATTTAAGCATATGTTTGATATTGTTGCCGTTGCTTCGACATCACATCAGTATCACATTGGAAAAAATAGTGTTTCAGAAACTAGTGTTTGTTTGGAATTATTTTTTCATAAAAAATGATGCTCCAAGTCACACCTTGAATATTGGGAAGGTATGACTTGGAGTAACGCCAAATTTGGCATTTTTTGGAAGTACAATTCGTTGCTGCCAATAGAAATGTGAGGTGGCAGTGATGTGGCACTAGATATTGGATACCAGTACTGAAAACGTTTCCTAAAGCATTGATACCAAACAGAAAAAGTTGATATTATTCCATGAAACATTCTATTTGATAACAATTTCAAACAAAAAAACACTATTTTCTGAAAAAACGGTGCTCCCAACCCACACATTAGCAAACGGTAATGCAGCATCGGTGCCAATTGCCAAACATATACCAGAGAAACTCTCTCTCCATTTTATTTCGTACTTGGTACATTTTTCTCATCAACTCTTCGCCGGAATGGCCAGAATACAGAACACCGGTCGAACCACTATGCCACCGGATCCTATTAGCTATTACTATCGTTTTTTATTGTTAAGAATTCAATGATGGGGTGTGAATGTGATCGGACAGGTTTTATCCGGTGGCAGAGCGAAATTGACCTGAAAGTTGCCACGTGGAAAGATTTAGGTTCACTTTCACTAGCTCAGTAGATCCCACTTAGCAAGCATAAAAAGCTAATGATGGGGCGTGATAGGACAGTTTTCCCAGGTGGCAAAGCATCTTGAGCCGAAACTTGCCACGTGGAAAGTTTTAATTTCATTTTCACCGGCTCAGCAGCTCCCACTTGGCAAGCATAAAAAAAAAGTAGGATTCCAAACATGTTGGATTCGAAGTTCAAACAAAGGAGCCACCCTCTTGAAATGATTATGGAAGGAAACAAACAAGACTTATTAAAAAGCGATGAAAATAAATGTTAAATTATGCCACCGCCCACCAACAAGGTCCAGGTTGTTTGACCCATTACTGTTCATGTGACCCCACTATCCGTCAATCTGGACCACTCGATCGGTGGACAATCTGTTCGATGAGTAAAAATCCCAACATGGTTCTCTCTCTCTCTCTCAAGTCTGGTATATTTATTTGATGAACCGTGAGCGCACAAGGACTCAGAGTGGGGCCATCAGCCAGGTGGGAATGGTTATGATGAAGAGGAAGACAACGTGGGATGAGAGTTGAGGGATGAACCTGTGAAGGCGATCACAACCGATCAAAACTTCAAAACCAAGAGCCAGTGTCATGAGCTTCTCGCAGAGTCGCAGTCGATCATTGACATTTGACAGTGAACCAGGTCATCTTCTGCTTACCAAAAGCTTTCTAGCTCCCTGAGTTACTCACGTAAATCACGCGTTCATGTTCTCTCTCTCTCTCTCTTATTTTTATTTAGTTTGTTCCGAAAAAGAAGCAGAAAAAACCCTTGTAAATTTTATTGAAAACCCACTTCAGAAAAAAAAAATTCATTACTCGAATCCTAGAGAGGAGAGAGAGAGAGAGAGGAGTAAAGGAATGGCAGAAAAAGAATGGTGGGGTGGTTAAGCAAGCAAGGAAGGAAGGGAGTACAGGAGTACCATGGGAGTCTTTTATAAGTCCACGGAAGCAAATGTTATGGGAATATTGCAGTGGACAGAGTGGCCAAGAGAGATAGAAACAAAGAGTATGGTGGAAGCTGTAATTGTATCTCTGTTAGAATAACAAGCCTTTTGCAGTGATGTAGGTGACACTCGGTAGGGTGGCTTTGTACTGCCTTTCCCCTGTACTAAAAATAGTTGTAGTAGTGAAACAACTGAAGCTAAAGTGGGCTCCCCAGTGAGAGAAAGAGAGAGAATCCACAGTGATATATCTGTTAGATAATGAGAAAAACACTGTCATGATAGTTGATCAGTACTAAATAACAACAGTTTTTCCAGCCGATGAATAAAAGACAACAAACAAGAGAAAAAAAAAATTAAAAGAGAATATGTCTCACCATATCTATATATCTTCTTTTCTTCTTTGAAAGTTGAAGCTTGAAACTGGAAAAAAGAATATCTGGGGTTCATTCCTGATATTTTCTGGTTTGCTGATTGTTTGTATAACATAACAAGATCCATTTTCTGCTATAAATAAACAAACAATGAGATGGGACTTGAATATCAGATTGACTACATGAGCAGAATTCAGAAACAACAAACGCTATCAACAGTGGGAAACCAAAGGAGCGTTATGTATATCAATCCCATCTCATCTTTTGTAAATAGAGTGAGACCCAAAAGTAAAGAATGACAGAGAAGGAAAAGCAGTTTTGTCTCTCACACACACTCTCTCTCTCTCTCCAAGGTCCTCTGAAGTAAAAGGCTTAAAAGAAAGGAAACCTGTTTGCCAAACAATGGAAAGGAACCTTAAGATACCGCATCTCCCTCCTCTCACCATCTCTCTCATTCAAATGTATGTTGACGGGCCAGCATTCAATACACTTTCAAACCACCACTTTTTCAGACACCACCGATTCCACCAAATCATACTTCTCTGAAACTAATTATTACGAAAAGCCCTAGGCAGAGAGGGAGAGAGGCTGGGTGTTCCTTGGCAGGGCTAGGCAAACCTCACCCAGTAGCTGGTAGCTACTGCATACTGTTATGTTGCAGCAATCCAGCAGAGGAGGCTAAGAGCCTGAGACTCAGGTCTAGAGAGAGAGAGAGGAGGAGGAGGTCTGGAGACTGACTGAACATGAAACAAATCAAAGATATGGCATCAAGCCTATTTAATAAGAGTCTCAAATCCATTACAGATCCCAAGGAAGAGATTTAGAACGAGCGAGCGAGACAGAATTTCAAATTCATAAAGTACCCAGAAATATAAAATATAGAAAATTGTGTATCAAGACCACCTTCACCAATCACCAATCACCACCCACGTGATAACAAACCACATGAATCCATTAACACCCGTAATAGATAGATGGGGAGTTAGATATTACAGATTTCAAAGAAATATTGAGGTGTGTCTATTTTCTTCTTTAATGAATCAAAGACCATTAGCTGCTTTTCTTTTTATTGCTAACTTGCTAACATAAATTCATAAACAACCAACCTTGCTCCTGTATGATCATGCGCCTTTGTATAGGAGCAGAAAATTAGAAGAAGAAAACAAGAAACATAAAAGAAAATAGACAAAAACGAGAACAACTAAACATGAACAACCACAACTATCGATCGCTCTTTGTCCAAAATAAATGATGATAATAATAATATAATATGATCTACCATTTTCTGCTCCCCTAGCTTAATTAGTCATCATGTTAAGCTGCAGAAAAATAAGGCAAGAAATCCGGAAAGAGAAAACCAAATGGACAAAGAAGAACAGCAAGGAGAAAAGAATATTAACTAAGATAGGTTTTGTCATTTTCTCTATTATCTGGTATTCTCTTTTTGTTTTGTTTTCTGAACAATATAAACCCTTATCTCCTGATCAAACTAAGGTAACCCACTGTATTGATGTAAATCCGTCCATGCTTGAGTTCCGTTCCAGCTGCTGCTCGTATTAACGTTACTGTTGGCGGCAGTGGTGGTGGTGGCTGTTTGGGTGTAAGAGTTATCGAAGAACCACTCCGTGGTTGTGGTAGCAGAACCACTCACGCCACTTTTTGTTGGATTTCTAACGCCAGAAACCTCCGGTTTTGAGACGTCCAGGTTCTGAAACGAAATGGGTTGTGGTTTCTGCGCCTGATTTTCGAGTAGGGCTGTAGGAAGAGAAGAAACAACGCTTTCTTTCTGATTTTCTCCACCAAAAAGCATGGCCAGCCTCTGCTGCTGCAACTTCCAGTGAAGATCTTGATTGATAGAACTCAAAGACTCGATGGAAGATGCAAGGCTACTGTGAACATTCATCGAACCCATCTCCTGAATTCCCCCACTGAACTTAAAACCCCCACTCTCTCCTTGTCTACTAACTGAGGGAGCATGGTAATTAAAACCCATCAAAGACCCAGAATTTGCCGCCACCTCATCGATATTGAAACAAGAAGGATTGGTGGCTGCTGCCGTTGTTGCTGCAGTAGATGAGATATCTCCATATGAAAGAAACTGGTTATTATAAGCACCGCCTGCGGTTGAAGAATGGAATCTAGAGAAAGGAAGGCCGCTACCTAGCTGAAAATCCATGGCAACTGGTGAGAGCCCATGAAAGAACTTCATTCCACCTGTGTCAGACGATGCAGCGGAGTCCTTGGTATCGCCGGATAGTCTTGAACCTGATTTCGTTCTCTTGTTTTTCCGGCAACCCCCGCCGATCGGAACGTTGCGCAAGGCACCTCCTTTGGTCCAGTACCTTCTACATGTCTTGCAGAAGTGTCTTGGCTGAGTGAGACTGTAGTTGTTGTAGTAGCAGAATTTGGTGTTAGGAGAATCGCATCGTGGGCATTTCAACGGTTGCTCGGGTGGCCTTAGTGATGCAGTCTTGCGGCTTCCAGTGTTCTGGTCATCGTCGTTGGTCGGCGGATTTGCCGGAATATTATCTGGAGAGATCATGCCTCCTACTATAGAGAGGGGGAGGGGGGAGACTAAGGGGGGAATGGAACAAGGACCAAAAAATGAGGCAAGGGCGGGTTGTTGTTCGGGAAGTTGAGTACTTCAGTTTCCTCTTCAAGAAGCAATCAAGAGACCCAATTCAATAGTTTCATGCATGGGGTTGAGAGATGGTAGATTCTGCTTGTGATCTTCATCAAAGAGGGGACTCAGAAATGAAAAATATAAATTCTACTTGAGATAGAGAGTTCGGATTGATCGGATAAATAAACATCAGAGAGAGAGAAAGAGATTGCCAGAAAATATAGTGGCTATGTATATATATTAGAGAGAGAGAGAGAGAGAGAGGGAGAGAGAGAATAGAAAGTTGTTGATCTGATCCTAAACTGGCAGAATGGAGAGATCCAGAATGACAAAAAAGCAAAGTGAAGCATGGGTAGGTGTTTGATGATGTGTGACGGATCATAAATGCTTGCACCTCCTCCACTATTTTTTTTCATAAGAAGGTCTAAGGGCATGCTCATAAACAATTAATTATGCCCATCTTATTCTTAGAACATAATTAAAAGGGTAATTAACTTCCAGCTTCATTAATTAATTTCCAGTTTTCTTTCTTCTGTTTTTACCTAGGTTTTGCATGTGGACATTATTAATGCTTCCAAAGCATGGATGCAACAATTAATGCATGGATGGATTCATACATAACTTAGTACATGGTTATGCTTGGATGGATATCAGATTGGATTATTGGAAGCAGAATACTAAAGCCAGGAGACCCAGGACAGCAGTGACAGAGATAGTGGATGTTAGAGAGAGAGAGAGAGGGGTCAGTGAGGCAACAGCAGCAGTGGGGCTGCCAGTGGTTGCAGCCTTGTCTATTACTCCCCATGTTAAGTCCCTTTAAACGAAGGGGAGCACCCCCACCCCACCCCAAGTTGAAAGGAAGCCCCACTGCCCTAATAACAATTACAAATAGGTGGGAAAAGCAATATTTTCCTGATAGTGTTTTCTTTTTTTTTTTTTTCTATCTGTAAGCTTTGCTTATATATAATAGCTTAATGTTTGATTAATGAACTCTGCATATAATACTTATATTACATGAGTCAGTCTCAGTCTCAGACTGAGGAGAGGAAGGTACGTTTAGATATGCCCCCATAAAACTGCAAAGATAAAAGCTATCATTTCTCACCTCATCATTTCTAAAATTGGATTTGACGGTCCTGATGATTCCTTATCTTATTTTTTCTCTTTGATCGTTTGAGTGAAAATTTTGGGAATCGGACACCTTACTTATTTATTATTTCTCTGATTTATGGGCAAGACAACAAGAAGAGGGTGAGCCGGTGAGGTGACCCATGAAAAAGACTGTCTGGGAAATGCTTAAAAAAAAACGATTGGAATATAACAACCTGGGGAATTGATGGAACGGACATGGGCAGCAGCGCAGTGCAATAAACGGGTCTGACCTGAACTAGATCAGCCAAGCTCAGATGATCCAAGAGGTTGGGGTTGGGATGTTTGTTTGATGTGATGGGTGGATGTGGATCAATACCCGATTATGGTTTTAAAATGTGTGGGTTTTTTTTAGAATCCAAATCCGCTCATTATATCCCAACGTGGTTGATATGAACCATCTAAGCTCCTTGTGGAATCCATGTAAAATTTTGCACCGGTTGGCATTTGAATGGATTAATCGGTGTTTAAATGGAATGGAATTTAAAGACTCATTTAAAATAAAGTTTTATATCGATTATCGACAAAATTCAAAATCTTTTTATGGTTCAGTATGAAATTCCATCGATAAGGCTTTACACCGCTTCCAAACGCAGCCTAAGGGATAGGGTCCCCCCCTGGAATTCAAATTGACTTTGTATAATCATCAGGAGCTCTATATATATATATATATATATTATATATAGCCCACTTTGAATTGATGTTTTAGCAAAGTGACGCAACTATATAGAAAGCAGCAGTGTTTGTCATATGTGTATAAAGCTCCAATACAAGGTGAGTGAGGTATAGGGTGGTGTGGAGTAGGGAGAAGGTCCACTATACATTGATTACAAAAAGTGAGAATATGGAGCTAGCACAGTTACCTCAGCCCTAGTTATTATGCAGCCAGTACTTACTATAAGATAAAAGATACTTTAGTCAAGGGTCTAGAGGCTCAATCCACTCCAATCTCCATGTTCAAAGATTGGACACTGGAGGGAACAGAGAAAGAGTGCATATTCAACCTGATTAGGTCAGATTGATGTCTACCCTAGCTTAATGCATCAGAATTCAGGTAACCAGATTGTGTGGTACCACTCCTTCGTCAAGACATAATCACAACTTTAGCTGTAGTGGCTGAACTGAATCACTTATTGTTTTGCCTTTTAATGAATAATAAATCATTAAGCTGAGCCAAAGGTTCCAAACATCTCCTGATGAGTGAAGCAATTAGAACCCACATGAACATGAGAAAAGACAAGAAGAAATGTAGCAAGGAGTGTGGTGTTGAGTGTTGAGAAAGAGTTTAATTGTTGGTTGCTGCACCGCTAAGCCAAGGTGGTTGGGTTGGGTTGGGTTTCTGAGGCAATCGAATCGAGGTTGGTTAGAAGTAGAACTGACGCGGCACGGGCTGAGAGAAACTGCAGCGGCGTGAAATAACAGGCGAACGGCAATTAAGCTGCTACCCAACACTCACACACACTTGATACAGGGTGAAGGTGGGGGCTCGTGAGAGGAGGACTGGCTTTGGCTGGATTCCCGTGAACTCAAAAACCCAAAATCCTCCACTGTCCGGAATCCGGATACTCCACTCCAGTAGGCTATCTAACATCTATACGCCTCACTCATTCACGTGCCACTCAAACAAACCGGAAAAAAAAAAAAAAAGTAGGACCCACAATTTAGATGCCAATCCCACGGTTTCCAAGGGACTCATGTGATGTTGATGAACACGTCACCCACTCGGGTGTTAGGTCTGATCTGAGGACTAGATAGGTTGTTGATTCAATTCTGTTCTGTCTTTTAATTACCATGACGCCCTTCGGTGTTGCTGCCTAATTTCAGTCCTATAACAATGGTATTTCGGTCATTTGGAGAAAATTCATGGTTGACGAAGGAAGAGAAAAGAACAGAAAGAAACCCTACTTACACTGCTAAGCCTAAAGCCCCGAGGAGGAGGAGGAGGAGGAGGAAGGTGGCAGCGGACTGGTGTTGGCGACACGTAGGAGGCGTTTTGGCCACGTGGCCTGGATGAGTCTGAAACACTATCGACTCTCGCTCTGTCAATAATTGAATTAACGGCATTGATTCATTCATGTCGTTGCTTCTGCCTTCTTCAGTTGCTGCCTTTCTGCGGAATTCGCATCTGCGACTGCTCTTCCTCTCTGTACGTACGAAGAGAACACACAGCAGCCAACTAGTAGAAGAAGATCAAGAAATGCGTAGAGAGAGGAGAGAGAGAGAGAGAGAGAAAAGATGTATGTGCGCGTACGGATCGCGTGGTTTATGTGGAGGATAGGAAGAAGCAGAGCTCGCCCTTCTATGAGTAAGAGAGGCTATTCTGGTCATTTCGGGCTCTTCCCTCTTGTCGCTATCTACCACGTACATACGGTATTCTATGCTCCCGACTCCACACCGATCCTTTCTGGGGCTTTTGTTCGAAGTGTCGCTCTCTCTCTCTCTCTCTCTCTCTCTCTCTCTCTCTCTCTCAATCCCCAAGTCTGTGTGTCGTATGCATATCCAGAGAGCTTCCCCTTCCCCCTAAAGCGCGCTTCTGTCCCACTCGGCGCTAACCCAGTTCCTGAATTCTGGACTCTGGACCCTGAACCCACCCATTTTCTTCTCTTTGAGTCCTGACCAATGACCACCCATACTGATTACTGGCACCCTGAATCAGGCTGATCATCGTAGAGGACACCTTGGACATGGGACGACTGCCCTACGTCCCAAAGGCCAAAGGCAGCTGGTAGCTGCAGTCTGAGGGGGAGGGGTCCTCAGAACTTGCCACGTGTTCTCACTGGCGACTTGAATCAGAGCATCAGGATCCGATATTACTACACAAACAAAATCAGCAAGCATCCGATGGCTTTAGAATCTTTGGCTGCCTGAGAAATGCATATTGTTCTTTTTAAGGCTTAAGCTGTCTGACTCTTGAAGGGAGTTGTAATATACATTATGGCATTATGCTTCCCTCCATGTTCCATCATGATTTTCAGCTCCATGAATAGTCAAGCCGGGCCCTATTGAATAGTAGACCCTGATCCTCAAAGCTTTTGAGGCCCAGACCACTTTACAGGTGTTTTGGGCCCCAGACCCAAGGAACATTTGGTCTTTTTTACAATTTGTTTCTTCTGTCTTTGTCTGATCTATTTCTCTTTGGTGCACTTACAGGTGCCACAACGAAGGGGGTGGGGGCCCTATGAGGTGGCCTATCATATGAGGTTCCACCAAATATAGAGCATTTAAGCTCAGTTTGAAAGGAGTGCAAATACATGGTTTCATTTTTGTTCATTATGGGTTTTATTTTAAAAATTAAAAAAAAAAAAACAATGAAGGGCAAAATTGACTGCAAGAAGGTAGTTTTGGAATTAAGAAAAATTATAGAAGTCATGTGACATTGCATGCGAATGGTTTATAATGGCAAGCTAACGGTAGAGGAGGATTTTGTCCAATGCCAGAACTTAAGGATCATTAAATCATTTTTCAAACAGTAGGATAAATTTTTATCCATTTGTTAAACGATAGAAGGGTACTTCAAGTATTTAACCCTATATGAAAATATCTTTTAACAGAGATTTGGGATCAAATCCCGCTGAGGGTTAAGGGGGAGGATGGACTGCCCCTCCCGGGTTGTGTAGCTCCATGAAAAAAAATGAACATTCTAAGTTCAAACCAACCCACACTTTTTGTTTTGAAATTTCAGTTAGGACCTCGGCTGGGACACTGGATCTGCTACAAACTAGACGTGTACAATGGGTCGTTGACGTGTTTACTTTTGACTGGGTTTGATAGTCGATCGTGCACGTCTTGTTTGTAATGGTAGCAGACTCTGAGACCTGAATCAGAGATTCAGATAGTGAGGTGATACTCAACTTGGAAGCTCAAGACAACCCCTCTTTTTTCTCGGTTGTCCTTTACCCGACCACACGAAAAAGAGATTGAAAAGTATTGGAAAGTAACGATACTACGATGGAGTGAACCCGATCGTCACGTGACCAAACAGCAAAAAATTAAAAAAACAAAAAACAAAAAGAAAAAGAAAAGAAAAGCACTGAGATCATTCAATACATGCCAATTGTGTGAAATAAGACGGTAGGAAGCAAAGCAGACGCAGAGTCGTTACTCCCGTACTTCCAGGAACACCACAGAGATTACCTCTCTCTCTGACATACTACAAGAAGCTCCAACACACACTTAGAATAACCTGCCAACAAAATAAGTTCCAACACCCTACCAAAGACACCACCTTGATCTGAAACCGCACATCTCACCATTAAGGTACAAAACGAGATGATTTTTCTCGTTTGCATTTCTGCGAAATTCAGGCATCAATCTCTGGAATTAAAAATCGGGATAAGACAGAAAATAGACTGCAGAGTAAACCAAAAGCATGGCAGAAAAAAGGAGAATGGACTCAAACTCAACAGTACAAAAAAACAAAATAAAACATTTAGAATTAACACTTCATCCCAAGTGCCAAAGGGTCGATCAAATCAAGGAGTGGTAGCGAGGCAGCGAACAATTCGCTGAACAGAATCTCAGTAGATGTAGATCATCACTGGACGTGAAATTGGAGTCTGATCCCATTCGCTAGCCAGTGTCGTACATCGCAATAGACCAATTATAAAGTATTGTCATATACCTCACCCAATGTCTGCTGAGTACTGACCATTCTTCTATAGATGTGTACTTGAACAAGTAGACCAATTGCCTAAATTCTTTCATTTTCTTCTTACAGTGTAAACTTCTTTTCGAGTATATAAATGAAAAAGAAATCGAGTGTCGGCGCGACAGTATGCACAACTTCCACATTATAACTATAAAAATATCAAAAAGAAAATATGAAAATCAGAGTGAGAATGATGATAAGAAGGATGAAAAGATGAATTGGCAAATACAAAACTGCCACAGGCATTTTCTCGAGAAAACATAAAATAAAAATACTGTACAGTAAATTAACATTTATCAACTCTGGTTCTCTTCCCACTTTCAAATTTTGCCCTTCTTTTGCCTCCCTCTCCCTTTTTCTCTTTAAACACAATTATCTACATGATTATGTTTGACGTGAATGGTTTCAACCAAAACCAAAACCTTCATTGGCCTCATGAATTGCAAGGAGTAGTCTCTCCTCCAGATGTTGTTTAGATGGATACTCTGGTAGATCCAGCTGGTTGAAACTGCATTTGATGAAACAAAAAAAAGTACGGAGAGAGTTAAGACTTTGTGCATGGCATTGAATTAAATACCTGGAGAGAGAGAGAGAAGGCCTGGTTGTGCATAAGCGTACCATGTATGGGCAGAAGGCAAGTGGTCAGGGCTCCCATAAGCTTTATGAATCTGAAATCTTTGTGAGCCTGAAATTCCTTGCAATGCACTGAAACCTTCCAAAGGTACCTGCAGGAATTGGTCAGAGTAACCAGTGAGGACACTTGATGATGCAGAAAAACTATATATATGATAAATAATTTAACATATCAAACAAAAATACGAAAAGGTCAGTTAAAGATGTAAGAATTCATTTGATAAAAGTGAAATAATTAAAGAATAAAGTAAATATAAGATCAAACATTAGGAGGAAATTAGAAGCAATCTTTTTCACGAGAGAAATAAAAGCCAGACATGTCAAGACATCAATACCAGATGCTTCAGTTAAGAACAAAAATATTTATAGACCGTGATATAAAACTTAGAAAGAACAAGCTAATACAGATAAAACTTCCTTGTTAATTTAATTGCTTTAGCCCTTCTGGCACATTAGATATGCCTGAATCTCAAACCTTGCACCATCCTCGGGCTAACAAATTATGCATGCATACGAACATATTACCTGGTAGAACTTGTACGTAAAAGGGAAAGACATTACCTAGAGAAAGAAATGGATAATTGATCATTTGCAATAGTTACAGGAAGTCACTTGTTTACTCTAATGATTTTTTCCAGATAAGAGTTTCTATTCCATATTGTCTATAATTCCCTATTTCTCCTTTTCAGATCTTTCTTCACAGCCCAAGTTCATCACTGTACACCCAGCCTTGCTTGATTAAAAGTTAAGGTGGAATTTAATTGGGCTTTCCAAAGATAGCTTTCAAAGCCCAAAAGTTCAAAACTTCCAAAAACATGAAGATAAGGGCTCAGAAAGCTTGTTTATCGTCTTTGGTCTCACAACAATGAAAAATGGTCAAAGGGTGTCTTCAAGTGGTCTTGTAAATCACAATCAGACGAGTTAGAATGATTTTCAGGTTTTAGAATGGAAGCTTGAAACAAGAAATTGGACGAAGTTTCTATTGAAGCTTCAATAGAAAAAATATACTTTCAAAAAACATTCTACCAAATCATAAAAGCTCTTTTTTAGGCTTTATGCATTTTCAAAAGCCCAGTCACAACATAACGTAACAGGGCCTATGTCTTGTATAGATTTCAATCTTTGCACACATCAGTTATCATATCATGCTTCCTAAGTACTAAGAACTATTCTTTACTTATATATACATAGAAAAGTTTCATTTTAAAGGACAATCTCAAAGTTGTAGTGGGCTGAAACAAACCTCATTAAGATGGACCACAAATAGACCTTCCTTTTTAAAGGCTCATATAAGTAGGGAAGCCTCCAATGCAAAAAAGAAGGGACTGTATAAGGCTGACAGTGACCGGTAAAGTTATCACAGGCCAATCCAGGACTCGACACGTGACCCAATTACAAAAGCTTTTTCCATGTATACATATTTATGTTTGAATGAGTTCAAACCTTTAAATTTCAAAGGTAGATTAATACGAAAAAAGGCACAGTGGTCAAAGTTAAAAAACAAAACACACACACACACACACACAAAGATAAGGACTAAATGCATAAAGGTACCTTTGAGGTGCCAGTCACAAACTGCAGGAGACGGGCTTTATCCTCCTTGCTGAAACCTTGGACAACTTCCCAAAACCATTGAATAACAGGAGATGCAGCACTGTATCCAGAATACTCAGTATTTGCTCTCATGTCATCCACTGAAATAGCATTAAGTACAAAATTTAGTTAGTAGTGATTTTTAGTTTTAGAACAGTTTTGGCAAACATATCAGAAGTCCTGAAAATGTCATCAAAACAAGCAAGCAACTCACAATCAATATCTGGAAGCCCACTAATCAATAACTCCAATTCCTTGTCATTAAAGATAGATATCAAATCACGTGGAATCAACTCATTGAAGCCTTCCAAAAATGCATTTATTTGAGGACGAATAGCAGTGGTCAACCGATGCTCAGCAACAAGATCAACATATTCATGCTTATTATCCTCAGTAACTCTAATGTTTCGTCCTCCAGGGATCAGCTCATAGTCAGTTACCTGAATTTCATTACCAAGGGTAAGTTTGGACAACAAAGTATTTAATACCCAATTTATTACGTAATGATGGGAGCCCTCACCTCTGTTCTCTCATACAATATTAACTTTTCCTCATCCGCATCCATGCTAAAAGTAAGGTCCAAAATGTCACTTATGTCATTCTGCAAAGAATGAAAAATATAAGATTAGAACTATTTAATTTTGATCTAGACATGCATGGGACGCAACTTTCTCCCGGGCAGCATACCTCAAGCATCCACTTCAGATTTTTAAAGTAATCAGGATCTATAGCTTCAATGTCATGATAAGTTACTTTAACCCCTAGGATATGCTTGTAGAAGGACCGGGTGAAATGGACATCCAGAAGTTGTCCGTCAAACAATGCTTTTCCAACCTAGCAGAAGAAATGGACCAAAGAACTTAGATGTATATCATCATGTACTGAATGCGAGAAAAATAAAGAGAAGATACATTACCACCCGCCCAACGAACTTGAAGTATGAAAGGTGCTCAGTTTGGTAGACAGAATTAGGATTTGGCTGAAATGTTGATTCATTGCCCACGGTTGTAAAAAGTAGGGCTCCCTTGTCAAATATAACCCTGGACAACAACTGATACCATTCCCTTGTAAGCCCACCAGCATCAATACCTTCCTCACCTTGGAAATGAACAGTTAATCTTCCCTTCAGATCTTGAGTTGAGCGCATCCTCAATTGGTTATAAGAATCTTCAAGAATGTATGCTCTTCTCACCGATATTCTCAAAGGACTATGATGATGATCATGCTGATGCTTTATTTTTGAACGGAAATGGGCTCGTTTGTTGTCAAAATCAATGAAACGTGGAACTTTAAGCATTAGAGAGAAAGACTTTTCTAGCAACCCCGGATTTTGCCTGATGAATGCATTTAACAACTTTCTATGCTTTTCTGTGAATTTGACAAAAGCAAAATGTTTCTCATCAACTTTTGTAAGGGAACCCAAAGCCTTCTGTTGTGCAGCAGAAGTGCTTGCATCTTCAATGTCAGAATTTGCAGCAATGCTGAAGTCTTGAACTGTGCCTGACTGCCCAGGGTGCAACTTTTCACATGTCACAAAGAAAGATTCTATGTATGGCAATATGTTTTGGGTACCTGCTGGAAGTGGAGGTATTACACCTGTAGTTATTGGTGTTAGAGTTCTAGATGCAGTGGACAAATCAGGAGCAGAATCGGAGTAGCTCTCTATTTTGCTTATGCATGTGCTCAACTCCAACCATAAGGGCTCCAAAGCAGCATTTATCTCCAATACCTGAGAAAGGGCATCATTATGCTCTCTTTCAGGGATAACTTGATGATCTTTCTCTTTCTCATGGAGTGACGCAACAAGAGAGCTTAATGCCTGGAGAACCCTCAGTATAGCAGTTCCATCAGTAGAATTTGTACTCAGGAGTGCTTTCTCTGCTTCTCCAAAGGTGTGCAGTTCATCCATTGCAGATCTGGTCAAGTTTTGGATAGAATCTGCTAACTCAGTAATAAATAGATGGCAATGAGTTGGAGTAATGGCCACCAATTTCTTTAATACCTCAGCCACAAGAACATAAGCATTATCTGACAAACTGCAGATTGGAAAATGGGTTAGACCAGAACCAGAATGATAAGTGATAATGAAGGACGAAATGCTATCAGCAACACTCCCCAAAAAAGTAAAGTGAAAATAAACCACACAGCAAACAGAAACAAAAAAAAAAAAAGCAGAAGACAGTAAGGTTGAAATTTTGTTATCCACAGACTTGATATTGTGAGATGGAGAAATATTGTACCAAAAATAAAGCTCTCCGGACAAGACAAACAAACTGAACCAGAACTCGTGCTACAGTTTCAATGTTCACTATCAATGAACTAACAACAGCAATAACAGAGAGGGAGAAGAAACATCCAAAACTAAAGAATACAGGTATACTTTTATACACTAAGGTGATGATGCCCAACAGACTAGGATGCACCAAGATATGATCCAGGAATGGGAACCAATTTCAGTGGATATATAGTGCACTAAACCTCAAGGCTTTCCATGATACAGCAGTAATATAAGGTAATACAAATTCATCCTGTTACTCATTATGTAACCCATTTCCCATTGGCTCCATACGAGCATTATGGCAGTATGTGCAATGCACCTAAAGTAGCTATTTAATCAAATATTGCTTCTTATTCAACCAAAAAACAAATAAAATAAAATTCAAATAACCTAAGATGGACAAATGAAAAATAAGACAATAATGCAACTATTCTTGGTAAGTTTCATCATACCCCTCACGTGCAAGCAGAGAACATAGAAGTCTAAGTTCTGCTTGGGGCAAGCTGAGTAGTGCAGTTTGAACATCAAATTCATTATGTAGAGAAGAAATTGCCGGTTTAGAGTGTTCATCAGCCTTGGAAAATTTGACATCACCAGAAGAAGATCCACCAGCTTCACTATCAGGAATTGCAGCCTGAGGACCAGATTGTTGTCTGGCAGGGGATAGCTCAGACTTGCTGGATAAGCTGGATGTGTTTTCAGCATTATCAATAACAACCTCCAATAGATTTAGCAACTGCAACAGGCAACAATACAAAATAGGTTAGTATTTCAACAAGAACTTAAGTAAAACAATTGGGTTCCTAAGTTCCACTCTAGAGGAAATATTACCTGTTCTAGATGAGCTATACTCCTCAGATAGAGTGGCTGGTTTAATAGACTCAAAAGCAAGACAATGGAATAATCCCCTTTTTGCTGTGCCTTTTTTCCAACTTCCTCAATAATCATCACAGCTTTTCCACGACCCTGATCAGAACTCTCAAACTTTTGTGTGGACGGATGTGTAATCTCAAGCTGAAGCAAAAGCTTTGCCACAGAGGGATGGTGCCGAGCCAAGTATGTCAGAGTTTCAAGAATACGTCGGGACACAAGTGGAGGAACTCCTAGCAGCAGATACAACAACCCAGTAAGCATTTCATCAGTTATCACTACATTTTTTTGAGAAAAGTTAACCAAGACTCATTAAGAGAAAAAGAGGTACATGAGAAGCTGTACAAAGCAGGGGAAGAACCCCTACAAGTTACAAAGGAGTTACTTGAAAATAAAAGATCAAACAAATTTTAAAAGAACTATTTTCATTTTGTTATCAGTAAAAGGTTTCTATAAAATATTAAATATATCCGGCATACTAAGCACAAACAAAACAAGTAGAACCTTGAAAACCATATAATAAAGAACCAGTTAGCTTTCTTTTATTTTATGTTTTGATCATTTTAGCTTTTCTTTCTTTAGTCTTAGGTCTTTTTTTTTATATCTTCTGAAGGGCTACAAAACGGGGGTAGCCCATCCCCCAACCCAGGTGCAGGCAGGATTCAATCCCAAGTCTCCGCTACAACCAGCAGGAGACCTTACCAACCAACTGGTTGGCACCTTGCTCTTTAGTCTTAGGTCTTATTCTTTTCCAACATGAAATTTCGGAGACTTAACACCTCTTGGGAATTGTGATCATCATCATACCATAAATTACTGATTATCACCAGATAATAACTGGAAATAAAGCTTATCAGACAAAACAATGATGAATAAAAATCCCTGCTCCCAAATCAGAGAAGCAATGGCTTCATATTCCAACCTTACTTGCAGATTCAATTGGATTCCTAGGTCAGGCTAACAGCCAAGCAGAGCATTGACAGGATGGAGATCAACAAGAGAAAACTAGAATGGGGCATTCCAGGACTGGGGAACATTTTTTTAATTTGCTTTACATTTCAACTATATGATGCTGCCTGTGGCAGCCAACGACTGTTGAGATATATTCTCTTCAACATTTTCTTTTTTTTTTGTTTGAAATAAGAGTTAACTGATTGTATTAATAAAAGGATAGGTACATGAGGAGATGTACAGACTACAAAAAAAACAGCAAAAAGAAATTACAAAGGTGTATTCTTTCACTGTGCAGATTTTCCCTTAAGGTACCCGCGATTTAGCCAAACCATCAGCTTAGTATTTAGTTCTCTGGGAATCCAGATTAGATTTACAGATAAGGTGTTCAAAATGTCTCTGGCCTCAGACAGGTAATGAGCTAGTCCCCAAGGGCCTCCCTCCTTCAACACTTTCTCATGAAGTAAAATTATACTGTAAATGATCAAAAGAATGGTAACGCCCCACATACTAAGGAACAATAATTGGCATGAAACAGATGAGTTGAACCTTTTTCATCCATCATCAACTCCATCAACTATTACAAAATTAAAGAGCATAAGAAAGGTCACGATAAGCCTTACCATCCAAAAACTGAGGACGCGAATACATAACGTAATTCTGACAAGCATACAGTCTATAAGAAGGTTCTGGAGCACCATTTAAATGACTGATAGGCTTCCGCGTATCAAGCATCAACATGTCCATCAGAAGTTGCACCAGATTGGTTCTAGTTTCAGCATGAGCACATAGGTTGAGGAGAAGTCTCTGTAATTGGCCCTTGTACAGGGGCTGCAAAAGCATATACATATCAGAATGCCAATCATATACATACAATAAATATACATGCATAGAAGATAAACTTGACTAACCAAATAAATACCTGAACCACGCGAAGCAGTCGAATCATTGCCTTCAAAGCTTCTTTATCCACTAGAGGAGCCCCATCAGCTTCTAATAGTTTACCTCCAAGAGATCTGCGTGAAGCAATGCTCATGCCAGCTCTGTCCAAGGTGGATCCAATACCTTCACCCCGTCTAGAAGACTCCCCTCTTCTGTTCCTTGAATACATGCCAAAAAGATTACGGCTATGATAACGATGTGCAAATCTTTCACGTAGCATATTAGCCTCAGCAACAAGAGCAGGTGTTAAATTGGCTAGAATAGCATCAGAAGAAGTTAATAGGACCTGGAAATGAAAAAAAAATAATAATAATATGAATTAGGATGAATGGATGAGTTTTCTAAAAACATAAACATAATAACTTAATGAATTTGAAACCTCTTCTCTTAAATCTGAAGGGAATGTAGCAATTATTGAGACAGCATCCATCTCAACTGGTTGGCCTTCCAATTCTTGTGATTGATGAAGTCTCTGAGCTTGTTGTTGTGCTAAAACTTCTGCACGGATATCTGGGGGAAGAGCTGCAAGAAATTCAGGATCAATATCTCCAACAGATTGAGGCTCAGAGTTTGATGGTTGTGCAGCTTGACCCTGTTGAGCTGAAAGAACCTCAGCCCTCAAATCCTCAGGAAGAGCATCCAGGAATGCAGGATCAATTGCTCCAGAATCAGATGCTGTGTTGACTTGCTGCTCCTCAGTTGGACCACTCTGGTCTTCTCCTTGGCTAGGATTTTCTGATACTTCACTAACACTCTGAAGAGATGCATCTCTGCTGCTTACTGGCACAGCATTGCTTGATATGCCTGATGATAAATTTGTTCTTCTTGTTCGAGTTGGCTGCAAATCACCCGAAGGCATTCTTTCAGAAGTTTGCCGTTCTCCACCATCATCATGACCATCAACACTTCCAATTTCTACTTCTAGACTCCGTAGGCTTTCCCCTAACGTTGCTCCACTTCCACCACTCTCCTGGCTCACTGCCTCAACATCCCTTACAACTGCATCACTGCGTTCATACTGCATGTCAACAACTTGAGTTTGTGTAGCTGATGCCTCTGTTACTTGGAAACTGTCAGCTGCTGGCCTCACATCAGCATTGCCACCTCCATCCATTGCAACAGGGGAAGCAACAGTAATGCTTCCATTGTTCACTCTGCTTTCTAAAGGTGTATCAGACCTTACTCCTGCTTCTGATTCTTGTGGCTGACTGGCCTCCCCTTTGCCCTGAGGTTCCTTCGTAGTTGTATTTTGATCAGAAGGTTTCTCAGGAGCTGGACGTCTAAGCCGAGAAACAAGCAACTCCTCAAGCCCTTGGGGTATTGCGGGTGCAGTTGAGCCACTGCGTTGTTGGCTATCATCTACCCACATATTGAAGCGATGTCCATGTCGTCCATTTCTCAGTGACCGGAAAATGGTATCTAACCGTGATGAAGCATTTTCTAAACTCCTATCTGAGAAGAGGGCATTAGCCATATTCTCTGGAAATTATACAAGAGAAAATGAAAGTTAAAAGTCAAAACAATCACAATTTATCAGAACACGATAGATATTGAACTACAAAATGACACGTCAATTTGACCAAAAGAAACAACCTGATTGTCTAAAAGATGATGGATTCAGCATGGAAGAAGGTTCAATCAGGAGAGGATGCTGAGAAGGAGCCCCATGGTCACTAGTTCTTCCTAGAAGATTATAGATAGATGTTGTACGCCCTTGCCGCCGAGAACCAAAAACTTCAACAGGCATCACATGGAGGGTGTCATTGGGAAAACTGTTTTCTCTACCAAAAACTTCAATATGATCAAAAACATTTATTCCATTGATGCCCTCCTCTAGCCTGAGAATCACACCCTCGTCGTCATCATCATCATCATCTTCATCCTCTTCTTCCAATACATCCTCATCAAACTCATCCTCATCAATTTCATGATCATCCTGATCTGTGTCAGGATGAGACATGTGATGAACTTCATCTTCTTCCAAATCATTATGTTCATCATCCTCATCCTCATCTTCCTCTCCGTCATCCCCAGACATATCCTCATCATCTTCATCAACAAGATTGTCTTGCACATTGTGAGGCATGTCAAATCTTATCCCCACTGATTCCAAACCATTTTCAAGACCACCAGCTTCCTCAGAAGTTTCATGCATAAAATCATCTTCAGTTCCAGGAGCAGAACCTCCATCAAGATCACGGTCATGCTCCATATCATCTGTAACAGACTCTGAACTGCCAGAAGTTTGGACTGCAGTAAAGGGTTCAACATTATCAACCGCAACTTCATTGTGATCAGGCTGGGATGTGGTTTCCAAGGACTGGAACTGATCACCACTATTATCTGTTCTTCCAGGTGGATTCTGATCGGATGGCTTTTCTGAGTGCTCACCCTTCCCAGAATTGAGATCGGCAGAATTGACATGTTCCTTAGTTACCGACTCTAGAGCTTTCACGATGCCAGTAACAACCTTAGGTGAGTCAGCATGATCTAGGTCCAAGACTCGCAGCATTCCAGTCAATGATCTAACCAACCCAACATCTATAAAAGTTGCAGAAGCTTCTGCTGAAATATATGAACCAGTAGGTGATCGAGCAACTAGGACATCATTGAGAAGATCAACAAAAGCATGGATATTACTGTCAGGTTGCCTGAATCCATTAGATGAATCAACAAAGTCATTTAATACATTGCTGATCTCAGTAAAAACTCTTTTACGCCCTTCAGTGGAACGAATACAAGATGCCACCAAGAACTGGCTAGCCCTGGTGGCTAGTTTCTGCCTCCAGTCACCATCTAATTTCTTTTCCTTTTTGTGGCTTCCAGAATATGGAAGAAATTTGTGAAGAATGTGATGAAATATTCCTCCACTATAGTTTCCAGTGGAACCCCTTTGAGGAGGAGCTCTGCAGCTACTAATCTCAGCATCTCTTCGGAGTAGAATATGTATAGATGAAGAATACGTCAATAATATCTCAGTCAATAGCTTTAAAATGAATACAGTTTTTGCAAGAGATGCAGAAGCTTCCTGACCATTGGTTTCACTCTCTTCAGAAGAAGTGGCAATTGCCTTTCCTTTCCCTTTAGTCACAGCACCATCAATGTCCATGTCTGTTGAAGATGACCCGTCTATCACGCCATCTTTTTGAGGGGGCACAAAAGTTATAACAGAATCCAAGAGGAGCTCAATAACACTTACAAAACTCTGTGGCGATTTTCTGTGAGCTTTGGCATTCTTGGAATTTGAATCCGCATGTTTGCAATGCCCACTTCCAGGAGCAATTGAACTCATATCACCAGATATAGTCTTTCCATCAGCCATCTGTTGCTTGTCTTTCTCTTTATCCTTGCATTTTTCTTTGTCCCGATCTTTCAACAAAACAACATAAGGTCTTTCACCTACCATCTCAATTTGGCAGATAGACTGGGCAGCTTGAAGAAAAACAACTGGATCTCTAGAAATGACAGAAGCCAAATTTAGAAGAAAATTGCGGGGAGTAAGCCTTCCATTAGAATGCCTACTTGTTGCAGCCACTAGGCTGTGGCGTATCTCAGATTCCATTGCTTGTTGTAGGGTCTGAGGATCTTCAAGAATATGGCGGATAATGGTAGCAGCAACATTATCAAAACCAGAAAAGAGACTACTTGTTGGTAAAGATAGCAAAGAAGGCACACCCCCAGCTTCAAGAAAATTCACAGCAACAGAATGAGTTCTTGTGAGTGTAGCACATAACTGAAGAACAATATGCATTGTCTCAGAAGGAAGCTGGCTCTTAATGCATCTACAAGCAATCTCAATCAGTTGCTTCTGGTCATGTACTTCTATATAACGTGGAGACAGCCCCAATGCAGATTGTAAATTGCTTGGCTTCTCCTCATCCACAGTAACAGAATTTTGTTGGCTACTAATTTCATCCTTCTTCAACTGTTCTGAAATTTCAGAATTTAATTTTTGATCCACCTGCAACAGCTGATCAATTGCAAGAAAAGCTGCTGTCACCCACTTTGGCACTTCAATTTTTCCTCTATAGTGCAAACTAGGGTCCCACTGAGAAAGCAAACTCGAAGCAATCGTTACCAGGCCATTCTGGGAGGCAATTCCTCGTGCTGCTGCATCATCATGAAGAACTAACGCAAGAACATGAAAAAGAGCAGATAGCATATTAGGGTTACCACCATCAGAAACTGAACCACAAAGTTTCACATTATCGATAATGAAGGAGATAACTTTGTGCCTGCATTCACCATCATCTTGCGAGCATATCATCACAAGCAAGTCCCTAACTGGAAATGCTACAGGTTCCTTCATCTGCAGAAGCCTGGCACATGTTGCTAACAACTCCTCAACAGGAGGAAGCTGAACTGTTTGTTCTTCTTGATCTGCACCACTTGCATCTGCAGCATCTTCGTTTGCTGGTGTTCCAGAATTCCCCAGGGACATGGCAAGAGCACGTGCCAATTCATCATCCTCTTGGACTTCCTCTGGATGTGAAAACAACCACTCCATTGCCATCTCCACACTGTTTGTTCCCACTTGCCTCAGAGCCTCTTCTGCCCTAGACCTGGAAAAGCCCATCTCAACAATTGTTGAAATAGCTGATTCATTTGGAGGAGGACCAGTTATACGAGCCCCACCATTGCCATTGACATTTTTCACTTCAACACCAGAATATATGTGCCTCATGATAGCAATAATAGTTGTAATGAACTCATAACTGCACTCAGTAAACTGAGGATGGGTCCAAATAGGAAGCACAGTTTTCAGTACCATAGATTGGAGGATCTTTACAAAAGTCTCAGCATCTCGAGGAGAAGTAACATTTCCATTTGTAAGAGGTTGTGTAAGCAAATGTTTGGTAGAAGATAAGATGAGAGATGATGTCACCAGGTGGTCCATAAGTGTACCATAGCTAGCCAAAGGACCATATATCCATGTGTGATCTGTTTCTTCCTTCTCATCTTGTTTTTGGTTCCCATCATCGGTGTCCATTGGAGATGCAGGAGGTCTATTAACAGCAAAAAGCAATTGACTGGTAGCCTCAAAAGTGGTCAACACTGCTTGAACAACCCCATGACCATAAAAACAGTTCAACAAAATTGGATTGCAGGAATCTGGCCTATCGAGCAGGATGCCATCAATGAATTCAATTACTTTGCCGAAGTAACGACACTTTGTTGATACAGATACCTCTGATCTACAAGGATCTAGATGACCCTCAAAGTTCAAGTGCTCTAATGAAATGGAGGCAAAAGTAGAAACTACAGATTTTGAAGCAGGGGACAAAGTCAAAGAATCATCCCGTCGACGAGAAGGAAGCAACATTACTTTTCCCAACTCCAGAAAGAGGTGGCTGATGTGGAATGAAAGTGATCTCATCATATCACAGCAGGATGAATAGTAGGATTTCTGGTTATCACTTTCCATTTTGCGAGCAGCATCAGAAGAACCAGTTCGATGCAATTGGTTACCTGAACCAAAGCGCAGATTAGAGGGTCCATCCTCACCAAATCTCTGCTGGACACCAGTTGCACGACCAAGATCACGGTACAGATTTATAAGATCAAAAAACTGAGACTCAACACTCCAGCCCGATGTCCTTCTTCTCAATAATGGATCAAGGAACTGCCTAAATGAGTTGAATCTTTGCTCTTCAGTTTCATTTGAATTCCCATCTGATTTTTGTGACTCAGTGGTAGAAACGGAACCAGAACCCTCCATCTCAACCTTTGCATCTTCAAGCAAAGCAATTTGCCATAGAACTTCCCGATGGATACGCCCAATATCTTCCAGAACATCCTTGCTTTCATTTCCAAGTTCCATTAGCAATGCAGTCACCCAACGGTTGTCCTTAGAAGCAGCAAGAAATAGGAGAAATTCAATGACAAAAAGTGAAGGAAAGATCCCATTATCTGGTGTAGTCCTAGGGTCCAACAAAAATGAACAAGAAGACAAGCTAAATCCAGTTAAAGCCTTCTTCAAATGGTCCCTCAATGAAGAAGAAAATGAATGTGCCAATGCAGCAGAGTGATGTTGCGTGAAACCCTTAAAAACCACAGTGCTATGCAAAGCAATAGACATTCCTTCAGATGACTGTGCAATACTAGGTCGCAGAAGAAGCTTCATCAAAGCTTCAATGCCCTTCTTCTCCACAAATAACCTACAAGCTTCGGAATTTTCCATTGTTCTGTGAACCAGTACCATCACATGAAAGATACATAGTTGAACGAACCGCTCATTGCTGATACCATCAGCAGCTGAATCCATTGCACTAACCAGACAGGCATGCCCTTCATGATCTTTTTCCTCAGAATCAGTCTCCATTGCAGTACTCCCATCCACTTTCCCCAGTAATCCTGAGCATGTATCATCCCCTAATGAAGCAATCTTATCAATAATTTCAATTATTATATCAACACCAGTGGTTCTCAATGAAGACACATGGCGCAAAAGCTCCTCCACAGCATTTGCCAAAGGGACAACACCTTCATTCATTGCTATCACATATTTCCTGGTGGTGAAAATGTCCACAAGGAACCGCAAAGCCATAGTTTCCTTAACTGCTTCCAGACCTTTTGCATTAAGACATATCGCACCAAGACCACTAGGAACACATGTAAGAGCTTTTGAAGAAGGGAGTATTCCAGCGACTACTGAAGATAAAAAGGCATCAGGAAGACCCATCTCATGTAAGGAATTGAAACAAGTAGGGTCCTTGTGGATGATTTCACTCATTACAGTTACTGCTGAGAAATATATATCACCTCCAAACCTCTCTACATTGCCAAAAATCAGTAACAAAGAGGCAGGTAAAGAACTGTCTTGAGTGTTTTGAGACCTTGAAGAATTTGCAGGTGCATAGGTAGCAGAACCTAGTGCCTTTAGTAAAGCTTTGATGAGCCGCTTCTGGGAGTACAACTGATCATCATATCTTGAATAATCACCAATAACCATAGAGTTTTCATCTGCAACAGCCAGACCAATAACCCTATGCACTTCTGTCTGCAATCTCTGAGACAGGAGATCTACACCCCCCAGATCTTTCAACAAGGAAACAGCTGCATTACTGTAATCCATGAGCTTTTGTAGAGTTTTTACAGCAAAACATACGAGATGCATATGAGTAGAATTTACATCCTGCAGTAGAGGCAATAGTGTGGGAACCATCCCTGATCCTCTTATAGAACTCCCAGAACTTGAAGAAGATATAACATGAAGAAGGTAGAACTGCAGAAGTGCTTCAACAAAAGATAGAGAAGAAGGATCATTGGAGTTATTCAATGACAAGACAGCTTTCTGGAGCACATTTAGAAGAATCATACGGTTCCCCCCAGCAGAAATGATGCTTGATCCGCTCAATATCCTTGCTCTCTCATGGGATGATGAATAAGCAGCTAATTGTGCTCCCAGTGCAAGCATAGCAAGTGTTCTAATAGTTCCAGAAATGGCTTCCTCAGACCGCACAATCCTGATTAACTCGTTAGTATACTCTGGCTCATTTGAGAAAAAAGATACAAGTTCATCATGAGCATCATTAGACTGAACAAGCACAATGAAAGCAAGAAGAGAAATCCTGCTGTACAGCCTGCAGGTTCTCGGAGAACGAAAGGCCCGGGCATATCTAATACGGGTCAGCAAAGGGAACCTGTGCTCTGGAGGCACAATGTATTGGTCAATGCACTGTTTCAGAAGCTGCAAGTCATCCTCCTTCCTCATATGTAAATCTGGAATATTTATAACTTGCAAGTTGGAAGCTTTTGCCCCCGAACTGCTTTCCTCAGCACTCTGAGCATTTACCCCATGAAATTCATAATAAAGGGTTGAACCCAACCGATAATGAGACTTGTCAGATTCGCTCTCTACATCAGATGGGAATAAACATAAACCTTCATCTTGGATTCTCTCATTGGCCATGACACATGAATATAAACCCAAGCCTTCTTCTTTGCTTCCCCATCCCTGCGCTAGAGCAAGGAGATAGCTGTTTATTGAGCCACATCCAATCAACTTTCCACTCACATGTAACTTTGAGGGATTGATTTTAACTAGTGCAGAAAGAGTCTCCAACGTAGCTATGAGAATTTCAGGATCGGTTGATGCAAGAAGGTGCTTGAAATGCTGACAAGAAAAAGAATAATACAGTGATATCAGGAAAACAATACAGTTGCAAATACTTGATGAAAATAACAAAGTACCTGACTCTTACAAAGGATCATCAAAAGTGCATGTGCAAAAGCAGAAAAAAATGGACTCTTTTTAAGTAGTAGAAACAGAAGCATGTTATTCAATCATTATCCAGCGTACCTCTAGACCGCTAAATGAACTCTTGTTATGGCAGTTTTCCAATATTATTTGCATCACTCTTAAAATTTGCAGGACTGCATGCTTCGGAAGTGGGCCATCATCCTCTGGAATATTATCCAATAAGAGATCTTTCCTACAAGAGATATATGTCTTGAAATATGTATCAAAATGTAGAAAAAGAGGCCTCCAATGGTGAAAATTTCCCTGAGAGAAGCCCAAAAATAAGTGAGAAAGGAAGGAATAAGGCACTTGATAATCACTGGATAAGTATTGTGTTATCATCACCTTATTGTATTCCCATCGAAATCCTGAAAGAGGTATCGCTATATCATGTAATGGACTCTTAATAACTTTGTCAATGAATGCTTTAATTTTAGGAGGCTGCAATTATATGTACAGTAATTAGCACTATATCTTTATTACATCAAATCAAATGAAACAATTCATTGAACAATAATGCTTAGCAGAAAAGATACCAATTACAAAATATATATACTTAGAAGACAAGTTAAAAACATTTAAACCACTACCAATGAACAGATCTGCTTCCTATGATGCCAATCAACAACAAACATGAACATACACAAGGTAATGTATCTTTTATATATAAATGTAACAAGCATTTATGTATGTTCATTTTAGGTTTTCAAACATACTTGTTTTAGTCTGTTAGCTTCCCAAGGTTTTAGACAGAACAAATCACTTTTTTATGCAAAGATCCTAGTTTCTCCATTAAGTTCTTCAGGAATTTTAGTTGGAATATTTTCATTTTTTACCAAAATAATGTGTTTTTATGAAATGGGTATAATATTTCAATCAGAAAAATCAATACTTGCTGACTCAAGCATGTAAATTTCACTTTAGTTGCCTTGAAAATGGAAGTGTTCTGATGGAATTAATTAGAACCTTGGTGGAAAACTAAAACCTTTCTCTTTTTTCAAGGCAGATTGTTATAAAATCACAATTATGACCCTTCTGACAAAGCGAGGGACCACAAACCACACCACCATTCTATGTAAAACAATTATTTCATACATCTTTCCCGTTTAGCCAACCATTATAGATACAGATGTGTTTCCTGGACTTGGAACCTGTTCAACATGATAGCATTTCATGTATATGAAAAAAAAATAAAGATCCACCCAATGAGCTTAGTTAATCTAGTGGATTGTTCTGAAAGGTGTTTGCCTCAAGGCAATAGTTAAAACCACATAAGAGCTCATTGTTATAAAATCACAATTATGACCCTTCTGACAAAGCGAGGGACCACAAACCACACCACCATTCTATGTAAAACAATTATTTCATACATCTTTCCCGTTTAGCCAACCATTATAGATACAGATGTGTTTCCTGGACTTGGAACCTGTTCAACATGATAGCATTTCATGTATATGAAAAAAAAATAAAGATCCACCCAATGAGCTTAGTTAATCTAGTGGATTGTTCTGAAAGGTGTTTGCCTCAAGGCAATAGTTAAAACCACATAAGAGCTCATTGTTAAAATTTGACACTACTTCAGAAAATTTACAATATTTTCAACTTTAGAGCATGTATTAGTTCTCAAAGATGAAAGGGCCAAGTAAAATTTAAAAAAAAAAAAAGGTGTTTCTTGAGATAAGAAACAAAAACTATTAATCACATACAGTTTGAAAGATAAGTAATTTCTAATAATGAGTAGCGAATATGTCTTTCTGTTAAGTAGGCAAGCAACACATTAATGGATATAATTGAGGAATACACCTTACACAAGGAGCATGTTTTTCACACACAGGCATTTGGGGCCTTGAGAGGGGTGAACTGGATAAGGAGGACCTAAGTTTTGGCACTTATAAAGTCTAACATGTATATAATGCTCAAAAATAAATCAACAATAGCATGTCAATTTTTTTATTCCCTTAACAAGTCAACACTGGATGGCATTATAAAACATAGAAAAGCACATTAAAACACCCCAAAACAATTAATATACATATTCAATTGCTCATTGAGTTATCCTTATATACATAAATATAATGCACATAATATTTACTATGAATAAGTAAAGAAAGGTACAAGCACCAGTTCACCAATTTCTTTGTGGCAAGAGGGTAATGCTGAAGACCCCGAAAAGGTAACAAACGCAAGTACAACTAAGGAAACCACTGATAAAGTGTCAACAACCCCATATGCTCTTCTAACATCTTCCCTAGATATATCCTGAGTCGTGATCAGTGTTTTAAAAGTGCAAGGCGCAAAAAAAAGTGCAAGGGGCATTTTGCACTGCAAGAAACCTAGGATTTTTTGAAACAAGGCACAAAAGAATGCCAAAAAATCCAAAATTGCAAAAAATTAAAAAATACTAAACATAATATCAATTAAAAATATAAACTAGTATCTCAAATCAAAACAAATGTTTAAGAAAAAACTAGTATCTCAAATTAAAATAAATGTTTAAGAAAAAAAACTAGTATCTCAAATTAAAATACATAAACATAACATGTAAAACATATTCAAGTATGTGAAAACCAATCACTTTATTTTTTCCCAATTGCATTATTTCAAATGGCTAATGTGATGTTAAAAAATTTGCATTCCCGGTTCTATGAACCACCTTTTGTACCGAGCCCATTGAGGCAAGCCCAAACAATTCCACCAAAGCTCTGAAAACCCCCTGTTTGCCAATGCTGTTCATTCATTCATCCTAATAAAACGCATCTTCAAAAGACAATTAACATTATAAAATCAATTTTTGTAAGGATTAAGTATTTAAGACCCTAGGCTTAAAAAACAAAATGTGCAAATTTCAAAAGGTGCATACCTGGGCTTAAGTACAAGGCACACACCTATGCACAATACCGCATGTGAGGCCTCAGTAAGGCACATACCTTAAAATGCACCTCACCTGTGCGCCTAGGCACACCTGAGGCACGTCTTTTAAATAACTGGTCACAACCCACTATTTTACAAACAGTTCTGTGTAACAATGGAGGACATGTCCAATTCTTGAGGACACACACCTAGGCACTCTCTTAAATGGAGGACATGTCCAATTCTTGAGGACACTTCTATGTAACTTCCTTTCTATCCCCTGGCTTATTGGACATAAATGAACAGATAATGTGCAAGATTAATGTCATTTTTCGTACCAAACTTTACTCAGTAACAAAGACAACATTTATTGTGGGTATATAATATTAGAATTCAGAAAATATAAACTATTTTAATAGTATATACTTCTCCATAAACATGTACACGAGTCCAAGTTTTCTAATCTTTCTCAATTGGACTCTTGGACAAATGTTGGATTTTGACTCCCATGTCCATGCCCATGCAGTACTGAATTCCATACAAGACTTCAGAAGCAAAAACAAACACTTTTTATAGTTTTGTCTTCTTTTGCTTAATGGGCTACACAATGGAGGGTAGCCCATCCCCTCCCTTTAACCCCCCTAACCTTGGTGGCAGCAGCCCCTGTATCCTAAAGATCTCTTATAACTATCATTTGCCTCATAAGTTTGCAATAAAATAATCACCATTCACCAAAAAACAAAACATCATGATGCCTTACCAATCTCAAAAATGTAAAGTCTTAACCTAGTAACCTACTATATAACATACAGAAAAGAAATGTACAGAATCCTTGCCTACCATATAATATATATAAAAAGCAGACAAGGACCGTAAAACTTAAAACCATCCTATTAGAAAAGTGAAGGCCCTGCTTTCTAGAGTGAAGAACTTATTCAGATGGATCCCAAGGTCTGCTAATTTGATGCTGGATTGCCTGTCTCAGAGCAGATTAACTCTTGGGGAACTAATTTTACCCCTGCTGCATACACTCGTATTGATTTATTTTTGGCTTTTTTGATGGATAACTGAAATTGCCGGCATTGCATTTTTCTTTTGTTTTCCCAGGCACCAATTTACCCTTGAGGATTTTTTTCTCAAATTCTAACACATTTTTATGTGTTGTTATCAATCCAAATAAAGGAAGTTAATGATTACCACCAATCCTCACAGAGTAGAGGGTAGTAGCTGCATGCTACTATTCAGCTAAAGAAAAAACTAACTCAACTTAACCATGCCTTGCCCCAAGTTCTATTAAATATAAGCTGGTACTGTGGTAATAGAAAATCCTTTATTCTATGCATCATTCCGTATCAATGTTCACCCTTCTTCAATGATTTTCCTAGACTACAAATTCAAATACAAAGGCATCCAGAAAGTATATCCGTTCCCACTCAATTAAATGATCCCTGTGGCCATCATCCCCTCTATAATCAGAGTAAGAAGTCCCATCAACAAGGTATTGGTCATTAAAATTACTGGTTGAGGACCTCGGCAATAGAGATGAATGAATTTACTCAATGTACCATTTAGCAATTATCTAACCAATCAAGAGATTCAAGATAAAAGCAAATGTTCAAATTTTCAATGATCATCTTGTTGAACTGAAATTGGCTAGATGAAAACCATTATAAAACATTATTTCAAGTAAAAATTCCATCACTGCAGACTTAAGCCCTTATACCAAGATTGTACACCTCTTTAATGTGCATGTGTTTACTTTGCCCACTTTGATGTAAAGCACCATACTAAAGCTATTTGTTATAACTTCTGACAAAAAGCAATTAGGATCTCACTGATCCCACTGCATAGAATATAATATCAAGGAATATGGGTGTGGAAAAAAATGAAAAGCCGATGCTCATAGCCTAGGAGAACCTCATGTTTCTCTAGAACAAATTGACAGGGCACCAAAAGACACTCGTTTCTTTCTATTCCAAACAATTATCAATGGTACTCTTGAGCAAAATCCAATTAAAATGTCAGGAACTTTATGGGAGCACTAGGGGCTGACTTTTATAGGGCTCAGTATTGTCAAGCTGGATCCTTTTTTTTTGGCCTCGTAGGATATAGGGTTTTGTCTTGTTCATTTGCCTTTGTGACCTCTGAAGAAGAGAAGACAACCATAAAATGCTAAATTGTTCCATTCCATTACACTTGCTCATTCTCCAGTTTTTTTTTCTAAATTAGATTGAATAAATAACTTATTAACAAGGTCTTTTATCGGTACTTATTTTAATAGCAAATCATTGCTCGCTGATCAAATAGCAAATAAGAACATCTAATCATCTAATGAAATCGCTCGATTCAATGTCCCCCGCTACATAAGTGTTAAACAATTCATGATTGATGCGAAAGAGGGTCTTGCGCCTGAAAACAACGAAGTTAACAAAGACAAGTAACTAAAACTACTCACTAATATCCAAGATAAAAATAAATAAAGAAAGAAAGATAAAATAGATGAAGGAAACAAGCTCAGCTGAAACACTGGTGAAATTTGTCCAAGCGGTGCGACAAGTAAAACATAAAAACATATATTTTGAACTCCCACTATTTTCTCGGTTGTTCCAATAAACCCTAGAGAAGATATTCAACAGATTCGCATGCAAGAAAATGATGAACTCAAGAATCGAAACTGACCGGCTCGGAGTCAAGTTTAAGAGAAGGACCGACTGCTCCTTCACCCGATAAGAGATGCCGCAGCCGCAACGGCAAGCTCGATCTTAGGGTTGCCATTTCAACACAACTTCTCTACTTCCAGAGACTGCGAGATTAAAACAAATAACAAAAATAATCAGTTCTGGTTAGATAGATAAAACAAAACCACTGAGGGTGAAATAACTTCCTTCAATTGAATAAAAATTTGAAAAACACAGATTAATCATTAACAGAGATTGACAGTGAGAAGAGAGGGCATATACTTGAGAGAAGAAATAGAGAAGTACGATGGATGATGCATACACATCCGATGATTCGAGCACACGAAGAAACACGAGAGAGGAAAGATAAAGGGACAAAGATAGAGAGAGAACGAGGGTGAGAGAGAGATGGAGGGATAAAGAGAGAGAGAGAGAGAGAGAGAAGGAAAGAGAAGAGAGACGAAACCCCAGAACAGAAAGAAGGGGTCTCCTTTTTAACCCCCGTAAGGAAGAAGAAAACGTATTTATATGCGCACAAACACAGGGAGAGGGAGAGAGAGGTCTCCTACAGTCCTACTCCTACTAAAGGCCGAAAGCTTGAAAAGTAAAATCAACAAATAATGATAAATAAAATATAGCAAAATTTGTGGATTTTCTAGACGAGTCGTCTATTTAAGGGAAGACTGGAGAGTCCATTGCAAATTACACGTGGCAAATGCTGACATGGAATAAGCAAATTAGACGTGGCTGAATAATGTTCTGATCGCTAGCTCACCAGTCCACGTGGATAAAAAGTATGGAAGGTCTAGTGAATAAAAACCTACCGACTTGGATACAGGACGACCCTTTTTTATCGAATTGGACAAAAGGAAGAGGTTTTGTGACAGTTCGTATGGGCCACGTCTCAGCCATCTGCCCTGAACTACAACAGCTCCGTTGCTTTATGAATGTACGGTTTTGCCACGTGAGAAGATGGAAGTCATTTAGAAGAATAAAACCTTCCGAGTGATGGATAGACTGATAGACAGATCATCTAGCAAAGCCCTCGCCAGCAATAAAAATCTACTCGAAATCTTGGGTGTGAACATGGGACTGGAAGATAGGTAGACTGGGCTGGGCCAACCGAGCACAAAACAAGAGACACATTGGCCGGCCCAATAACATCACCCTCTAGGCCTCTAGTGTGACTGTGTGAGATTGGTTCTTGGATATGCTGCCCACGAGTTGCTCACACTTCCTTACCCACGAGACATTACAGCTATGCGTCCGAAACTTCTCTCTTGTTATTCATGGAAAGCTATTGCCAATGAAGGGGAGATCAGATTCAGTGGTCACATGATGGTGCTAATACAGTTCATTGCAAGGGAATGTGCCAATGGTGTGACCAATTTCAATAAATGGCCGTAGTACTGCGTGGGTAGAGATGTAGGAACAATTTGTGGGTAACATATCTAGAATAGTGAGATTGTAATCCAACATCACACAAACATGTCACTTTGGAAAAGGCCCAATCTGCTCACAACAAAAAGAAATGTTCCAAGAGGTTCCAATATAATCTGCATCCACATATTCATAGCACGGTGGGTTCTAGTCTTGTGGTGGATCCCAATTTCCTGGTGAGATGTGCGGATACAAATATGTTGGAAGTGGGTTGGAACAGCTTTTATTAGAAGTAGATTTATCCCACCTTAGCTTGAAGATCAAGCAATCAATATGAAATTCTCTCTCTGTGAAGAAGCTGAAAATTGGTTTGTTCGCCTGAAATTCAATTACTCTACCATGCATTCACGTCCAACTAAAGTTGTCATTTGGATAAGTTTTTGATTTGGAGCTTTGGGTCATACTCAAGGTTTAAAATGTTGAAGCTCGCCGCACTCTTTTTTTCTTGGAAACTGGCTCAGAGGGAACGGTTTAAGGCTGGTCTACCCCCTGAATCAGGCCATACCCCGATACAACCCTTGTAGGGGTATATAGTGAAGCCACCGATATGATACAATACACCCGATACGGGCATATTGTATCAAAATTTTGAATCTTGGTCATACTAAACAAAAATGAGCAGAAAAGAACCTTTGGTGACAGTAATTTTAAAAATATAGCAATATAATAAAACCAAAAAACACTTGTAAACCCCCAAGCTTTAAAAGCACAAATCCTTCTTATCCAAATGCAACCTAAATTTCCGCATGGAATCAACAGAAAAAAAAAAAAAACTCTTTCTATCAATTGGGGAGAAGCAGTACATTGGTTCTGTCACATAAAATGCTGTCGCACTGATTTATAAATCACCAAACTGGAAAGAAAAAACCCCTGTTTGGATGATGTCTTAGAAGAGAATAGGGAATTTAGAGGTGGAACCGTTTGCTTTGTAGAAATGAGAAGGGGAATTGATCTCCAACAGCACAGAATTTAGATTGATGGTTGTCGACTAAAACCACCGGTGACATAGTCTCTGTCATCCGTAGCTATATATATTCTTAACCGTTGGCATCAACAAACAAATTGGTTGAAATAACGGAGAATAAGGAACAATGAGAGATGAAACAGACTTGAGAAAGAGATAAGGATTTACCAGATAGATGGCTTAGGCAATTTCAACCACATACAACAATAACGTGGTCCAAATCTATTAGTTGAGAAGCTTCCAATAGATTGACAGTGTTCTCATTTTCATTGTCCATTTCACGGATCTCCTATTCACAAATTCTTCCCACATTAACAATGGAGATGTTTCCAATACACTAGTAGTGTCTTGTGAATAGGAATGTGGGAAGAGTTTGTCTGTAAGAGATCAGGAGTGCTATTTCACCTCATTATTTATCTCTCTCTCTCTGGTATAAATATTTGCTAGCTAGTGTGGCAGCCATTTTTATTTTGAAAAAACAAAGTCACACATCATAGTCATCATTCATGCTTTATCCCAAATATGTGGGGTCAGCTACAGTAATCTTATTTCGCCGATTCATTTTATTTAAAATCATATCCACTATTAAATTATATATTTGATTTAAATCCTTTTTTACCATTCTTTTCAATATATAAATCGCTTATTCTAACTTTCATGATTGGTAATATTACATGTACATGTCCAAACCATTTTAGTCTATCCCTCTCATTTTATCACATATTGGAGCTACTTGTAGGTTTCCATAGATAACTTTAATTGCATTGACACAAATATACATGCATATGTTTGGTTTGGTTCAGCTAGGTGGATGTCATACATCTAACCATCTTATATGTTTTATTTACTAAATTACTATGAACATTATTTTTTTATTATTCTTCAAATTGATAAATTATGGAGAAATTTTGATAATCTGAATGAAACTGTTAAACCAACAAATAAAATGTCAAAATATATAACTTGCTTTCAACATACAAACAGAGGATAAAGTTGATAAGTATAGAATATGAAATAAGTTATTACTAGGTGAACACATATGAACTACAGTTTAATTACTATATATTAGACAGATGTATTAATGGCATTTTTAAGAAAAATCTGAAATTAATTTCAACAAGGTTCATTATTTGATCAGCTTAAGTGAAAAGGGTATTTACTGTTCAACCCACCCTCAGAAATCTTAGGTCCACCGTACAGTTGGGGTAGGTGACAGCTTGGAATTGATGCCAATTCACAGGCGGGTATGAGTGTTATAGGTGGAGGTGTTTATAATTTTTAATTGTTGTAGATTTGCAGTTTACTTTAGAACTCGGAGGTGCGGAGTGCAATCTATTTATCCCTAAGGCTGTGTTTGGTTTGAAGGGAAAAGTAGGGAAAGGTAGGGAAACCTTTACAAACATTGTATAAGTTTTCCTACCTTTCTCTTCATTTCCCTACTTTTTTCCTTCAAACCAAACATAGCCTAAGTGAAATGTTAAAGGTATGTTTGATTTGAATGGAAAATCTATTCAGTATAGGTTCCTTACCTTTTCCATTCAAACACAGCCTAAAGTTCCATTGTGCCAAATTTTAAGTGCTATTGTGTTTTAAATTTTGTTATTAAAACCATAAATTACTCTCTCACACACACAGAGGGGTCTACAAAAAGGTTTGCCCAAATGGAACATGGCCATATTCAATTTCCATTTACTCCACCTACTGGTATAACTCGACTGGGTTGGATGAGGCTGAGGGTCAGTCGAGGCTCAACCCCAGTTTATCGATTCAGGCTCAAAACTTAGCTTAACCTTTTATGGTAGATCCCACTCTCATGGTGAGATGCATGGTGTCGGATCATGTTAGTAGGGTGTTGGGACGTGTTTTATCAGCGACAAAACCCAGGCTTAAACTCAGGGTTGGATCGGTTTAGCATTGGGATCTGCTATATGGGATGCCACTTGAGGGTAATATAGAAAAATCATGAGAATTAAACAGAAAACAATAGCAAATTAGAAGGTATATATCCCCTTTAACGTGATAACAATGATTAAAAAAATTGTAAAAAAGCATTAATAGGTCATATTTGCTGATATTTGATTACACGAAATTCCTCTCAAACAAAACAATGAGGCCTGATTTGGAAAGTGTAACCAAACATTGCGATGAGAAATGAAGGGAAAGGAAGAAAACCTATATAAACCTTGCATAGTTATTTTCACCAGTTTTTTTCTTTAATGTGTTTTTCTCCTCTTTTTTATAAATTATAATGTTTTGGGATGCTAAAGTTTTGATTCCAGCATTTCCAATTCAGTATTGTTTAGTAATTAAACACACTGTATGTTCCATGACATCAATCGAAAGTTCCAACTTGAAAAAAAAAAAAAGGAAGAGATCGAGATTCTGCTCTCTTTTTCAAACCTAATTTACATCAATCCTACGCAAATTTGTCTGATCCGATGATTAAAGTGTCAACCACGTAAGAAAGAACCGTAGGTCTATTAATCAAAAGCAGGAAAAGAAAAGAAATTGCCGTCAAAAGCCACCAGTACTCATCCGGGTTACTTCAAAAGTGTTGAATTTTTAATTTTGGGGAAAATACTAAGAACTTTCCTTAAACTTTCTGTTTCTCATTTTATTTTCTATCAAACCAAATAGAGCCAAATTCCCACATGTGGATTCCAATCAAACAGCCCATAAAATAATGTTTCGTGAAACCCTAAGAAAGCCTAAACTAGACATAACTGTCTTAAAGCTAAAAAACATGGATTTATGTTAAACTTCTTTAACTTAGTGTCTATTTGGGAGGATTTTCATGCAGCAACTTAGGCTACATTCGCATTTTGGTAAATTACTTACCCAGGTAATTGTTTTATAGGAAAGATTTATCAGGGTAAGTGCATTTACCCATATTCTTTTATTTCCCGTGTAAATTAGGCAATGATCATTTTATCCATAAAAATCCATTATTACAAGGGGTATTTTTATCAATGTTGGCAACTTTTCCCTAAGGTGGGAAAGTTATATTCGGTTTCGGTTAACCATTTAAAAAAAATGGCGGTTAACCGAACCGACCGATATATATATATTTTGAAAATCTACTGAGACTTTTCAGTTCGCCAGTCAAGCAGACTGGTAA